GCAGTTACAGTGTCGTAGACCCTGATGATTAAAAGCTGTATGAATGGCTTTTCCCATGGTTTTGTGGCTTTGTGCAATGGGAACAGTGACCCCGCTGTAATCCATGGCTGTTTACATTCCAGCAGATCAGTTCCTACTGGAACCATGGGGAAGGAAGGGCAGGGGTTAAAGAAGACTCTCACGCACCATATCTCTGCTAAACCAACACACACCTCACCCAAGAACCACACTAAGTAAACAATTGACAGTGCTGCAATATGGAAGGCTCACATCGTCTTATCAACACGAGCTGTGACCAGTATCTCATGTACTCTTTATCCTTTCTCCTGTAGATCACCTGCTCCTCTCCCTTATTCACCTTTCAATCCTAAATCATCCACCTTTCCATCTCTTGTAATGTAACACAAACTCGTATGTACACAAGACTTTTTATTTCTTTCTCCACTTTGTTTCTCACAGCTTGCTGTGAGTGGAAGACTGGAGCTCCCCTAAAAGTATCCCTAATTTGATGGGGTGGGGTGGTCAGCCTCCACCCATTCTCTGCATAGAGTGCCTGGAGGCAGCAACACAGCTTAGAGGCCCTGCCCACTCATCCATCCCCTACAAAGCTCTCCTCGTTCCCAAACCAACACAAGACAAAAGCTCCACAAAATTGGTTAAAAAATAGCCCTTAATTTCATGTTTGACTGGGGTAGAAAAGGCAGAGGGTTTATGCATGTTTCAGCCTGTCAAAAGGTCTTACAAGTCTGAGGGCAAACACGCTAAGGTTGTATATGATCATGTCTGAGAGATCCAGGAGAGGCAGCAGAATAGTGTGTCTCAAGGTGAAAGAATGCACAAATGTGTGGGAAATGGAAGGAAGTTTGTCAAAACGCTCAGTTTTTGGATAGTGCTATGGGGCAGGGGTCCACTATTTGAATTCCAGTAAACACAGGAAATTATTTGAGCTAAGATGAAATGAGAATGACTTCAACAGCTGAAACGTCATGAGAACATCATGTTCTTGTTGGAATAACAAGGATCATGGCTGTGATACAGACCAGTCAACTGTGGTCAAAACAGTCTAAAAGCAAATGTAATTCGAGTGTCTCTGAAAAGGGCCTTTTGTGTACTGCAACTCAATAGGTAGCCTCATTTATTTGCAGGTACACTGTGCTTCCTCAGTCTGGACTGAAATACATTAACTGACCAATATGAGAACACAAAGTGCACCGTCTTTTCCAAGCAACTGCAAATAAAGTGAGGAAATATTGCAAACAATACACCAACAACAGTAATAAAAGTGTGTCAATGCAAAAGCCTTTGTAATCTAAGGATGTAAAAAAAACAAAGAAAAACAGGCTGTGATTCAGTGTGAGATCAGAGACCACACCAGAGACACTAATGTAAAAAAAAAGGAGCCTAGATCTTATCATGCATTTGTGTGTGTGTCAGTAAGAATAGGTTATAATTAGGTCAAAGTATGGTCAATAGGAGCTCGGTGTTGTGTGGGGTATTTACGAGTGCATAGCGAAGCAGTTATTAGAGCGTGGGTGTGATAATTTTAACTCACACTGATGTCATCAAAGTGGCTTTATGGAGCTGGAGAGGTCTTTGCACACCCACATACCTGCCCTCACCACGAGGTGATAATGGATTTTGTGTGTGTACGTGTGTTTCTCACATCACTTAAACAACTTCAACAGCTTAATCATACAGCTGTGTACAGGTGACCTGTTTTCATATTGTTCATTTTTCTTTAAATGACTCTAAGACCAGCATTAACTAAAGACTGTCAAAGCTAAGGTCAGTTTGAATCTATGGATTCTCCTTGCAACACCTGCTCCTGACATGGCCTCTGCAGTCAAGCACCCTCTGTCCCAGGTGCGTTCTCTCACACAAACACAGAAACATGTGCAGCTCAGCACAAACTGTAACTCTGTCCAATCCAGCCTTGCGCATTTGTTTCGATGCTGTGTCTGATGTTTTTTTTTTTTTTTTTTCTACAGCTACTGTAGAAAGGCTGGCTCACCATATGACTGAGCCTAGAGACAACCTCAGCCCACACACTTGTGCTTTGCTTCCAGAGCATTCTGTCCTATATCCCTGCAGTCAGGACAGAGACAGCCAGAGCTCTCCACAAAACAGAGAATAACTGTCCCATGTTATACATGCCATGGTCAACTGTTGCTGGACAAAGGGACAAAACATGTTGCCTTGGCAACGCTCCCCTGAAATGACTGCGTTGGGTTGCTCTGGGAAAATCCAGCTTGTACATTCAGCAAATACTGGACACTGAACTGACAGTGGATTTCATGAGTACATTTAACTTATGTCCGTATTTACAGCTAATAAATAATCCCATGCTAAAATTCAGTGAACTAGCTTAGACACATTTAAACTCCCTTCTTTAGGCCTATGCCAAGAACAATCCACTAAAGCTGCACTAACACATTAGCTTTGCATGGCAGCACATGTTCTATGCAGGCCAACATTTTCAGCTATTCACCCTCTCCATCCTTCCAATCAGTGATAGAACACATTTTCTCTTTGTTTTGCTCATGCTGCAGCTACGCTTTTTTTCTTTTAACCACTTGTCTCTTGCACATAACCATGGCAGTGGTGCGTTGTGTTGGGTGTTCACTGTAGGTGGGCAACCCTAAACCTATGACTCCAAGAACCCTGATCTCTCCCAGGCCTTTGCTGACCCATTCCTTTCCCCCACAGCGGTGCCACATCCTGCAGGTTGGGACCACAGCCCATCTAGGTTTGGTTAGAGCCAAGACACAAGAGCCATAAAACCAGGCCGAGAGGAAAACAGAATGGCACCTCCTCATCTACAAGCCCAACCAGTGGTCTCTGATGGGGGGCTCTGATGCAGTCTGGAGCAACGTTACCCTGGTGAAAGCTGGTAGTCTTTAGATTTAACCTGATGTCACTCACAATAAAGCTTTGACTGATCTTAATGTGAGTCTCTTCTTTGTACTTAATGTTGATTGTGGCCATCTGAAACATTTTGCACTGTACTGTTTAACTGTGTAATATGCATACCGATTAATGTACAACACCATGACATGAGTGGCAGATACGTATGCCAATTAGCCAAGTTTGTGCAGCTGTTTATTCGACAACCATCAACTATTCTAATGTGCCTTGTGTGGCAAGTGAGCTTCTATATTTAGGGTCACTTGATAATTCCGGCTCCAGACCCTGCTACCCCCCTCTCCTTTTGATCCTCCATTCAGAAGGGAGATGAAAAGATGAAGAGTGACATCCAGAGAGAACGATGAATGGAAGGAGGACATCCGCCTCTTTCCTTTGTTTCTTCCTGTAAACACATCATCCATCCTTCTTCTGATGCCTCTCAAATACAATTTATTGGCTCCGGTTTGAAGAGGTCATTAAAGACAGCACAGTAGTTCTTACCATGTTTTGTATAATAAGATCTTCCCCTGCTCTTGGATACACTATGTAAATAGTAGCCCAACCATTCAACATGTAGCAGATTTCTGTAGGGTGAATGCAATGACCCTGAAGGGCACAGAAGATACAAAGCATCCCAGTTTCTGCTGCTTCTTTTACATAAAACGTCTCAGCATCTCTCTCCTCTGCCAGTGAATGCCACATACATGCAGCACGAAAGGGTCAAAAGCACTAAAGCAACTACTTCTGCTTCCAACTCATTTCAAAGCACATCCCACACTCAGAGAAAAAGCTGTTGAGCGCTGCTATGGGTCAATCAATAAACAGTGTACCCACATGCTGCACTGCATATAGAACTGAAAAACTGTATCACATTCAAACAAATGACCTACAAAAAACATCAGTTCAAAGGAAAGACAGTCAGCCTACATAATATTTCCTGAATTATCGTATTCATCGGCATTCGATTACTGGCACCAATAAAGATCAATGATTACATCAATCTTCCTAGCTTTGAGTGGTTTTTCCAGTTTTTCTTCCAGAACAGGAAGTTGCCAGGGGGCTCTTGCACAATGTGTTAGCCACTTAAACAAACACACACAGCTCGGCACATGACTTTTAGTATCAACACCATGTGGTGTCACTTCATTCTTTTTGACACTTCTGTGCTAGTTAGCTTAGTGTTTAGCACATTCACTAAATACTCTGTTGTAGGCAAGAAAGCACTGGTGTTAACAGTGTGGTGACTGCCTGGTCTATTGGCAGTGAGCCTCTGCATGTATGCCTCAGACAAAAACACTGTTAACAAAATAACTGCAGTAACAACGCCAACTATTGACTGACAGAGTGTAAAAAGAATTACTCTTCCTTGTTTTTAGAAAACATCTACATGTTAAAGGCTTCCACTGAGACCAACTCGTTATATAAACACAAATCACCTTTTCCGGCACAAAATTACTCAACGAGCCACTTAACTATCATGGGATGTATTAATATATAGCATATCGATCAACAGTTAAACCTACTGTAAATTGTAATTAAAAGAGCCAGTCCATCATTAAAACAGACCTTATTGCTCCTGTCTTACATTCTTATCATGTTTCAGTAAGCAGTATCCCTGGTTTGTGATCTGTTCCCATTTGTGTGTTCACTTACTGTTTGGTAATGCAAACTCAGCACTTCCTCCACCAGTTTCACAATTGAACACTTCCAGGGGTTTAAGAGGTCTAATTCCTTCCCTTCATTGACTGATATTGTCCTGAGCGTCATTAAAAGAAGGTTAATGGAGAAATAAGCGCATATGAGAGTCAGAAACTCAAAAACAAGAGATGGGTGTGTGGTGAATCTGGTCTGATTGTACCAATGTGCAAAATGAAGACTGCGCACAGTTAGTAGACAGCACATGATGCTGAATTTATGGTGCAAGCCATTACAGCACAGATATATGGGAAAGTTCAAATAGAGCACACCACCAGCTAGTATTTGATATCAGGCCATTATTTCAACATCAGCTTTTATTTTAGGATTTATTGTATTTAGAGGTTTTTACACAGAGGAAACAGAAGTCAGCAGCTGACATGAAGAAAGCCTTTACTCACCATTTCGTCCAGAGCATAGCGAAGTAAGCCATGCTCATAGAGGATGAAGAACCTCCTTTGCCATTTCTATAAAAAGAAAGAAAAAGAGAAATTCCTGAATTACTGACATGGTCACATGCTAGGTATCAGTGTCAGTCCCTGAAGTAAACCTCATCAGCATTTTATATTACACAGAGATTTTATTTATACAGGATGATACAACAGTTTCATCTAATCTGTAAAATTAAATTTAAAATGAATCTCATCTACTATATACCTCGGGGTATAAAGACTCGGTCAATACGGTGGTACACACACATGCAAACAGTAAACACACAAGATCAAGTGCGCCTTTGGGAAACAGTTGTCATGCAATAGCAAACAAGGTGTTTGGGACACTTTCAGCATACGTTACGTCACAAGGTTTTTAAGCTATAGCTATCTTCTTCATCGTTGGCTTCCCCCCCCCCCCATCCTAAGGCACCGTTTTGTCTCAGTGTTAAATTTCCTGGGCTCCAATTCCAACACAGCCCAATCCATGAAATATTGAGAGGTGCTTTGTAACATAAAAGGCACTGGAAGGTCTCAACAGAGATGTTGATAACCCTCACAGGTGATGTTAAAGGGTCATTGCGGTCATATCCATAGAGTCCATTAAAAAAGTGAGAGATATGTAGCTTATGTGGGGCTACTAAAGATCAATTATACTGTGCCACCCTCACAAAATAGAGCCCCAGACCTGCAACCTGTCACACTAAAGTGGTCCTCAAACATGACTCATGCAACACATCAGCACTTTTTCTCTGTTATTTGTTTGTTGGTCAGTCAAAAAAACCTGACCAACATTGCTCACCTCAGCACTACGTACAGGCCACCAATTATACCCCCACAGTGAAAAGCTGATTGTAAGAATAGGCAGAACACGAGTGGTGATGTCAAAGCAGCAGCAGACTGTTGACAGTAGTTGAGCTGAAGGATCCAGAGGTGCTTTTTCCAAAAACCCATATGGAAGCCATCAGTGTGGCTGTGTGAACTGGGACTTTTCCTTCTCCTCCCCCACATTCTCCCTATTCCTCTTTGGGATGCACCACCACAGTATAATCCTGGAGCTGATAAAAGAAGTGGTGCGACAGAGCAAGGCTCCCATTACATGATGCTTGGGGAGCAGGATTCAAGAACTAAAGTCAATATTAGACTCATTATTGCCTGAATATGAGGCTTCTTCTGATAGAGGTCCAAGCCTCCCACGGGAAGCTGCTGAGTCCATGAAACAGCTACAGAAGCTGCAACACAGACCTCCTGTTTGTCAGATGTCAAATGCTTGCCAGAATGGATAGCAGAATCAAAGGAAGGACTAGTCAAGCCAATTGCCTTTTTTAACTTACCTGACAGTCTCTAAGCTGCTCTGATATACTAAACTTTATCCATCTCATACTCAAAGCTGTTTAACAAAAAATCCTAAGAACTGCACCTATTAACTCTCAGCATGACCAGAAACTACAGACCACAAGTCAAATAAAGTTGTTCCCTTTAAATGACACCATTCTCTATTCATTAGTTTTATGAAGCTCTACCAAATGTCCCTTCAATTAAAAAAAGGAAGTTAAAAACAATGCTCACTTCTGAATGTATTTCATTTCCAAGTTCAGCAACTTATGAAACCGCTTACCCGAGATCTGTGTAAGGGATTGTCAAAATTTGTTCCCTCAGGCGCCAGCAGCAACCAGCCTCCATATATAGGTTTTGCCTGGTGAGGGGAAAAACACAATTACAGCGTTGAAAGCAAACACTAAAACAGGGACATTAACATATCGATTAACGGTTCAATTATGCCATTGTCATTCACTGTAGATGCAACTGTAGGCTAGTCCCTGGGCTACAAATTGTGGCCCAATATCAGACAGCATTAACACACACACACACACAGTTTAACTGCATGTGTGTGTGTGTTAGGTGTGTATTAGTCACTAGCTGCCTTGAGTTGACTGCAGGCTACATTCTCCAGCTGGCTGTATTCCAGAGCACCATGCTGCCCCGGAAAAAAAAAAAGGAAAGGCTAACACACATGATTTTCCCTCTGATCCTCTAAGTGGGTGGACTGGTGGGTGGAGGGGGCAGCAAGAGGCAGAAGTTAGCTAGAAAAACAGTGGATGAGAAACAGAAGAGAAAAGTGGTACAGCGCCTGAGAGCTTTTGTGGCTACAGATTTGCAATTCAAACTTGTCCTGAGAAATGCAAGTTGGCCTGGCAGTCTTTCTTAAATAGTTCTGGTACATACTTGAACTGTAGCCACACTAGTAGTCAGCAATTGTTTGCTGAGCTAAAAAAGCCCAGAACCACTGCAGGGCTGTGTGTAAAGGAGCACATATTATTTACTAAATGTTTACACACAAATCTTACCTACACTTAAACAGCTTAACAAATTAAAAGTCCCTTGCGTAATTCAACTGTACTTCAATTCTACGGAACAGTAGCCTACAAATAAAGTCGAGCAGCTCTGACATTTACAGCCGCCTGGCACCTCCATGTTCTTCTATTGGTGGTTTTGATTACAGTCATAATTTCAGCCCATGTAAAGCCAAGTATAATCCACCATAAAATCCTCTTTCACTTTGATTACAGGAGGTACAGCACATTTCTCAGTTGAGTGACTCTGTAAACAAAATGACATAACAGGACTTTTCAATTATAAATCCAAAGTTATCATAACAGAAGTAAAGAGTCTGAGCAGACTTGCAAGAGAAACAACATCCAAATCTTGATGCACGTTAGAAAAACTTAGTACCTTGCAGATGAGACTAGGAGTAAGTTATTTGATAATGGGACTACTAGAAAGGACAGTAAGAGTTGAGAGGGAATCAAACTGATACTAGGACACTAGCTACATCCATTCCTGTGGAACATTAGTCTAAAGCCCATGGAGAAATACTGAGACTCAGCACAGCTTAAAAAAATGTCCCATCTCTCCTCGCATGACCTGACAGCAGCCCGAATGGCAAGGCCTCCTGAGACAGGGAAAAAGACGAGATGAATCTAGGTCATTTTTTACCCTTCAATGGTTCACTGTTTAAACCGAGTAATTCGAGTGTGTTCGTGTGTGTTCATTTCGCAACGGCCCCCCAACCTCTTATTCCCTCCCATCATAAATGACTATGTAATACTGCACCGACAGCGTGGGCCTTAGAGTGGTGAGGTGGGGAGCCAAAAGGAATGACAAAAGTTCTGGCTCAAAACATGCACAGAATGAGATTCACAGGCCTTCTGTATCTTATTGTAATATGACTTTTAAACAATAAGCAACAAGATCTGCATGTCTTGGGTCAACAGTCTCTGACAACAAATGATAACCTTTCACTAAGTGCAGTCATCACAGGATAAGCTTGATAACCAGTGGGTCAGAAATTCCGGTGGGAAGGCCAAAAACCCTCAAGTCTATTTCCATCCTAACAGGGAAGCCACTGGTCATGATGCAGAACATTACAGGAAAATGTAGAGCCGTGTCCTCACCCGGCCATGTTGAAGATATTAGCAGCCGAAGAGGTGTCATTCAGATAAACTGTCAACCTGGATACAGGTGATTCTTAACCTGTCCTGTTAAACAGCTTACCAAAAGGTGACATAAGCCAGCAGAGTTCAGTGTTATCTGATGCCACCATTTACAACCAGCAGAGTGCATTAGTGGAATACCTTCATTTGTGTTTTATATATGAAAATAAAATGCCTTTCTAAAATCCTCCCACTCTCCCATCTTAGTGCCTTCAAGTGTGGACTTGATTGTTGGTTAATTTGGGAATAATGGAGACAACCATGCGGCAAAGAATAAGATAAATGCCAGAGGGATTTATTATTATTGCATGTAACGTTATAGCAAGTTTTAAAAAGATTTTAAAGACATAACTGTAACCCAAATACAAGCAACTGACAGTGGGCTACTGTGCTGGAAGGCGTGGAGCTGGGTGTAGGCCTATATCTGCATGAATTAAGGTCAATATGCGCCCTTGGGCTGGAAACTAATTATGTCCAATTAACCTAACCTTTGCACTTCATGGTCTGTTGACATGACTCAAGTCTTTGAAATGGGCACATCAAACGGAAAGATACTAACGGACTTCCTTTTTCCATTACTATAAGTTACACAGACAATATCACAAGAATGAAATGCTATAATAAACCTAAAAAATAAATAAAAATAAAAAATTTCACCTGATTTAAGTCTTCGTCGTTGAGCAAATGTGATTCCCTGGGCTTAAAGCAGTTCTGGCATTTACTTTTGTTGAAAATGTTGGCTTGAAATTTCCGACAGGGGTTCTCTTTGAATGACATGGTTGTTGAAAAAGGTGACACTTGATGAGAAAAGTCTTTGTTTGAGAAACAAAACTGCTCAGTTCTCGCAGGCAGGTGGGTTGATGTCAACTTGCGGATGGAGAAATATAAAGTAACATAAAGTATAAAGCATGAAGTCCGTTAAATAGTGCGCTGTTCACCTGTCCTAGGTTACCTGAGGCGGTGAGTAACCTCTCGTTAAGTGATATCTATGAGGGTCATCTTGAGCGAGGGGTCGCCTCCCGCAGCTAACGTTGACCAGCTAACTTTTGTTGTTGTACACAAGCTTTCTAAGAAGTTAATAAGTTGTCGAAAGCGAGAAGAGATGTGCGCGGTCTTTTCCTCAGTCACGTCCTCCAACGAGGTGTGGACGTTTCACAGGTGACATTCCGGGCCTCGAGCTCACTGCAATGGTCCCGTCTGCCTCCATCGGGCGGAACGGCTGTACCGAGGGAGGGAGTCCACTTTGGCCCCTCTCTCTCTCTCTCTCTCTCTCTCTCTCTCTTTCTCTCTCTCTCTCTCGCTCTCACTCTCTCTGCCTGTCTTTCTATCTAACAAGTGATACCGCAGCCATTGCCGTTAAATCTATGTCACGCTTCTAACGTCTCTGTTCAAGGCCAAACACCGTTATCCAACTTTAGAAACGCCATCGACGCGGCTGTCATGCCGATGGATACATAGCGTCGGGTCTCGTCTGTCGTAGCAGCCTTCTCGCTGGCACTGGTACGCAGTCTGTGGTTGCTGTTTACGTGAAAATCCTAGCCTGGGCCGGACAGCCAGTAGGTGGAAGGATAGGGAGGTACTCAGGAGAGACTGGAGTGGTGAGTGACAGTAACTGCGACCAATTGTATACAATAACACGCCCACAACTGAGGCCTCGTCCAATAGAAAGCCTTAAAAATCTCCAATACTTTCTCTCAGGCTAGGTGGGCTTTAAAGAGCCCATCACAACAAAAACTTAAAACTGTGGTGTTATTATTAATAATAGCCTGAGCTAATATTTTTCATTTCGAATTGAAAGGACTGACTTTGATCTACATTTATTCAGGCTACCCTTATTGTTTGTGGAGGTTCTTTCTCTAGATTATATTGTTTTTTGTTTTTTTTGTGGTGTGCTAATCTACAAAATCCACAACAACACAAGAAAGAAAAGAAACAATTGGTTGTTAAACAGTCAAAACTGCCTGCAAAAATTGGCATAAGATGATTGATGAACAAGAAAACACACTGACTCTTTGACCTCTCATGGAGTGTAAGCCTGTGTGAAGAGGTTTAAACCCATAGCTGGTACTACACAAAACATGACCTACTATTAAAGTGACAAATTTAGAGTAGGCCAACAAAAGGCCCCAACAGCAATTAAACTTTATCTAGCCTTATAGATCTAATACACATACAGTGACATAACAAGTAATATGACATTCTCTTTTGAGAACAGCAAATGAGTAAATAACAGAAGCTAAGCATACATTTTAAGAGGCTATTTTTACACTACTACTACTATTACTACTACTAGTACTGTTACATGAAATGTATAAGTAAAGAGAAAGATGTCTCAAATATACTGCCTGAGTATAGGCTTATACAGTCTAGCAGGTGTTCATTTTAAACATGGAAAGTAATCCTAGTGTGGTGTTGTGATTCCAGGCTCCAGAGCACCATCTGTTGGTTTTAAATTTCCAGTGGCAAGGCCTCAGACCAGGTCAAAAATAAAACAAAAAAAAAACATGCAAATATATCAGAGACAAATCTAATGTGATAGATAGCAGGTGGAGTTTAGTCAGTATATTTTATATTATTGTTATATTATTATATTTTCTTCAAACATGCAACTGGTTTTACATGTAAAAATATGGAGTGTTGTGTAATACAGTGATGTTATGAAATTTAATGCAGTGTGTTAGTACACCACCTGTTGTCTTACTAGAATTTTTCCACAACAATGGCTTCTATTATTACACTGTTAAAATAGAGTCATGGAACTTTTGCAAGATGTTGCTAAAAGTAATGGAAGAGTTTTAAACTTACTATAGCAGGTGAATGTGGAAAAAGTGATGTTTGGTTTCCCCTTGCATGTGTTCTCTGCAGGGCCTAGTGTCTCTTGATTTTGACAGGACAGGAAATGGCCTAACAGTGAATTCCTGACTGACTCTGACTGAAATTTGCATACTGCAGAGAGAGAGTAGTAACCATGAGGTTATTTCTGCAAAGTACAGATAATCAGATCAAGAATATCTGTTGTCATGTGCAGGTTCTTTGAAGTCTACATGAAAGTGAACAACCATATTTCAAGGTGATGATCCAGACGGTGAGATTCTCCTGGGAGACGCACCAAAAACTTGTAAAATAATCCCAAAAAAAAATGTGCTCAAAACACTCGACCACACACACAACTTCACTCATCCAGTCAATGAAAAGCCACTTATTTACTCAACCTTTAAGAAGTGCAAGATTTTATTTAGGGCGCTTAAGGTGGTGTGCTCAAACAGCAGCATATATAGTTTTACCACAGCCAAGTCAGGGTGAAACATACAACAAAAAGAAGCATTACATCACCTTAATTATTAATTTAACAATCCAACAAAGCACATTTCAGTGATAATCTATTGACAGAAATACAATTCTCACATATTTTCTCTATTGTTTGTGTAGCCAGGAAACGACAAAATATAAGAAAAATATAACATCACATACCAGTAACAATGAGAACATGGGTAAAATGCATCCACTTCTTGTGGGAATAATTAACTTTCTCTTGTCAGAATTACATGTTGATGACATGCTGTCCATCTCATGTACCCAATCACTGCACTATAGATCAGGTATCACGGGAAGCGTTATTCATACAGCACTAATGACCGACAAAGGCTTTAGACTATCTTTAACCAGCTTAAAAACATTGTAGACATGAGTGGGACTGACTTTAAACACCATAAGCACCTTAAACACTCTCAGACTCTAAAGTCTAAAGTCAGTAATTCTCTATTTTTCAGAAGGCAAACAGAAAAGTGCACCAATGAAAAGTGTTTCAGTTACAGTGTGTTTGTGTTGTAAATGTTTCGGGGGCCAAGCCTTAGCAGCATCTTGCCCACCATCTTGTAGTTGTCGTTTACAGATATTTTAGGAATAATTACAACATTAGTTGTACTCAAAAACTTTGTCATTTAACTTTTTTTGCACAATTATTCCTAAGCAATACAGTCTGTGAGCATTTTAGTGATCTGGCGCCCTCATCAGTACAGTGAGAACACACAGACTGCACTTTTTAGTTAGGCAACTAAGATCAATGAGTTTAGGTTAGGTTACTGAAAGATTGTCAGTCTGAAACAGGATTTAAAGCCTCAAAGAAGAACACATTGCTTATTGCCATTTCTCCATACTTTCTGCTAAGCTACATAAACATCACACTACCTGCTCCATTTATGATTAATGGGCATAAATTATATATTCAGCTGAATCGTCCAATATGAACGTAATTCCTGGGGAGACAGGGCTGACATAAGAAAGACGAATAATGGCTATTACTGAAGCCAATACTATTGAGTTCTCATGTTCATATCTGCTTTAACCATTATTCATTTCAGTGACCTACAGAGACTAACTGGGAAACACAGTGTTGTGGCTCTGTAAAGTTGTGACTTGTGCTGTTTTTAGGCAAAAGATTTCTAACTTTTGTGCCAAATGCAAAGATATAAACATAAACGTTTTATCAGAACTTGACATGTACTGCATATTAACGATGAATTACAACATCAGCATTTAGAAGAGATTTGCCTTCTTCTTCATGTCATTACGTTTCCACAGTGGAAGTCTGTCAAACTGTTGGATCTGCATGCCGAAGATCTCAAAGAATGAATCTGGGGAAAGGTGGCACTGCAAAGGAGAGAAGAGAGAATAAAAGAATGACGTTATTGTGGAGAAGCTGTACTGTATCTCAACTTGCTCTGTAGCTGTGGATGGTTTCTAGCCTGCATGTGTGTGGTATTTCTTATTCTAAAATAAAACTTACTATTACCTCTTATTAAAAAAAAAAAGAAATCTGTGTTGCATTGCATGAATGCGTTTCTCACCTCAAGTCTTGTTCTGTCAACATCCTTTGGAAGCTTCACTCGTCCTCGATTAGTAACTGTGAGAATTTCATAGGGGTAGACCTTGACAAAACAAAGACTGGTTGAGAATGCTTTATAATAATCAATATATGATGCATCGAAACACAATCTCTATTCTATGAGCTGTGGAGATGGAGTTAGAACGTCTTGTACCATGCAAATATGCATCTGTTGTAAAAACCAGCACACAGTTAGCATGGATCTTTGAAGTCTTCAGTCTTCATAGAAGAAAACACTGTCAAGTGTCAAGGTCCTGCATATATCAGCCTTTGTCAAAAGACTCTAAAGGAAGGTGATGATGAAGTTGTCCTTGAAACCTCAGCACTATCCTACAGCTATTAATCTAACAAGCTCGTGTTTGAAATCTATCCAAAGCTCCACTCAACTGTACTGAAGTATTATTTGTATTTATTATTGTAGCTCTTACATGCATATCTTTAAAGGTTCATGTGTCCAGAACATGATAAGTCTTTAAAACAACACAAATATACAAATAATACTTGCTTTTGGCTCCAACAAATTAGGCATAGACACTCCTCTCTCCAGTCTTGCTAATGGATGTTGACCGTCATGGATGAGCTTCAGAATGAAACACATGCAATAGGAAAATGTCATGGCAGGATTAATCACTTCAAAGCTAAAGGCCAAACGGCCAGATTACTGTCAGTAAAGCATATTTAAAAGATGTGTGGTTAAAGAGTCAGTTATGTAATGGGTGCAACTCATGAATCAATGAAGATATATACAAGCACATCTGTGAATTGAAGCTGAGTTAACTGCACATTTCTTTAAACACACAGACAGTGCGGTGAGGTCAGTCGTTTGGAAGTGCAGTAAACTAAACAGGGAGAGGAAGCATAACCAGGGATTCAAGATCACACAATACTCCATTAGCACATACCTTAAAATCTGAAAGGCAAGGGAAAAGGAAAAGCAAAAGCAACACATAATTAATTTTTATTCACTGATTTAATATTGTAGTGATTGACAACATCCATGATGAATGTCAGAGACACTTACCTCTGAATCTGTCACTGTTGTAGTGGGAGAAATCAGCTGATTGTGGCTTAAGAAGCAAACATTTTTTTATTATTATCATTTTTCATATTTTCTTCTTCAAGTTTTTGATTTAGTAAAACTTAAAAACAAGTGATGTCGCTCTTACCGGATGGAGGCCATTACGTCCGTATCCAGGCAAAGAGGATGTTTGGGATGTAGAGGAATTTGGATCTATGTGAAAGTGAAACAGCAGTTAGATTATCTCACCATGAGACGACTCACACTCAGTCTCAACACTTAATTAGATCCAAATTAGATCAGACTTACTGAATAAACATAAACGTACCAGATAAGCACCTTGCCAAGTTCTTTTCTTAGCTTTTTGCTAAGTGTTCTGCGAAACTGACTTCTCAGTACTGATCTATTTTTATATTTATATTTTCCATTTTATTTTACATTTACATTGAGGAGCTCATTGTTTAGGTTAGACTAAGTTACCTTCAAAACTGTTGACCAAATTATTTGCCATCAACTCAAATGCATCGTATGCTGACTTATGGTAGTTACACCACAGTTATGGACAGGGACAATGGAGGCGTGAAATCCTGCTCATGGAATCCAAACAGTCTTTAGCTGCTCTGCTGTTTGGGTCTAACCAACCAATGATGATGACATGTGTGTGCAATTAGAAATAACTGAAGCTCAATATAAATGTTCCTTTTTGCTCATAATGTTTTCTACATGAGTATTATGTTTTACTAGCTTTACTATATAAGCACAAGTAAGTAGAGTTCAGACAATGAGAAAAAACTCAATGTTATCAATGTACAAGACTACAAATATATATTCTTAAGAACAACATAACTGAGATATCCATTGGCAGTTTTAAATTTTATTTCAGTCATTCGTATGAAGTTTGAAAATATTAACTGTAAGCGTCAAACTGTACCTTGCTGTTTATAGATTGGAGGCCGTCTGTACATGTGGAACCCTACATCTGCAGATAGAGAAGAATGCAGGGTGAGCAGATCATTCATTCCAACATATTACACACAATGTAGATGCAATACAGACAATTGTCAGACTCTGACTAAATAAAGTTTCATTGCACTCACTACAGAAATCAAGGCCATGTTGGCCGTAAGTGGGACGTGAGTGATCTTCAGTTTCCACCAAAAGCGCATGCCAGCGATTACTGTTCATAGCTTTTGATATCTCCTCCACAGACATGATAAAAACAGGCTTTAAAAGAAAAAAAATCACAGCAATGCTATAAATAGGCACGGCTGTAAGGTAATGTCTGATTGAAGTTTTGACACATGCACAGGGATATTTATTATTAATATTTAATCAGTCAAACCAGAGAAAACAAAAGAAGCAAAATATGCAAAATTGGGGAAAAGAAGCAGAAAGGAGGAGACCAGTGAAACAAGCATCTACTGTAGATGTTCGCTGGTGTATTTATTCTGTCTGGGGCACAAACTGCTGTGCTGTCTGCTCGAGTAAAGCTGAGATGTGATGAGTCTTTGTGTGCAGCTGACACTCTCTGTGAACTTTGACCACTAGATGGCTCAGTGTTTCTAAGAAAAATCATCTCTGTGTCATCCTCCTCTGCATGTGTGATAAATTCCAATGCTGATGCAATTTGCTGTTAGTAATCTGGGTGTTGTCTAAATGTTTATTCTGCCATTGCATTCACATACTGTGCTTTGTAGTTGACTGGATAAAGTAGCGGGATATAAATGTTGGATAGGAAATACAAAGATGCAAAATGGAGGAGAAGGGCTGCAGAATAAGTTGGGGGATGGGAGTCGAGGTGGGGGTCTTACCTTGAGGGAGAAAGTGGTGGCATAAAGGGGAAGCGGAGCAGGTGTCATTGTTGCCAGAGAATAAAGAGGGAGAAAGCATCACCCCTGCTTGTTATTCCAGAGAAAGAAGTGGGAGTAGTGACGAGGAGAGGAGTTGAGGAGACAGAGGAGATAAGGGAAGATGGTGCAACAGAGAAAAAAGTGAGCAGAGGAGGATTCATCTCTCTGCAAGCGTGATACGAAGATTGAGCTCATTCACCTCTGCGTGCTCCTCTCACCTGGCCTATGAAAGTGTTGCGGTGATCTGGACAGGGTCGGGGTGTAGCTGTGGCGATTGTATAGAGCAGGAACTCCAAAAGGTCCATGGCTTGCAGATTTTGGTATGCATTTTCTCATTTCGAAACTCTCCTTTAAAATAGACACACACATAAAAAAAGAATTGCATTAAATGCGCTTACAAATGAAAACTCATTTGTGTCAATGAATGTTAAATGCATATGATACAGAGAGTATGTGACCTTGAGTGTGAAAAGTTAAATAGAAATATTCACCTCTGTGGTTTCAGATTCATTTCCTGTTGACTGAATCAGAAACAGAAGGAAAAAAATCATTGTATGTGATTGAATCAAACATCAATATACATATTGTAAGTTCAGGTAAAAACCTTGTATCTCCAAACTTGTCAGATATGGAAAAAAAAACAATCTTGACCTCATCCTAACCACCATCCATCTGTTTTTTATTATTTAATTTTATGAGATGAGGATGTGTATAACATTCGCTAAGTTTGGAGTTATGAGGTTTTCACATGAAGACAGACATATGAAAGGTAGAAAACAAAAGGATTTGATTGTAAAGCTACTTTTGGCTAATTATCCCACATTCGTTTCTGGCAGCCTCTCTGCAGGCTCCTTAACACAGTAAACAACAACTAATCAAAAATTGTTTTTACCAGTTAACCCCATATTAAATGTGCATTGATATATATTTTTTGACTGTATTGTACATTGCTATGTACAATACTGGCTTTGGCCAAATTCTTAAAAATGTGAGATGTAAGCAGAGAGCAATATTCCTGTATATCTGCTGAGTTTGACTTAAACATTTAAAGTATTTTGTTATTGTAGAAAGTGAATATTGAATGAATATTTAAAGACCATTTTTCACAAAGAATGCAATGACACACAAACATGTCACTGGATATGACTTGGAGCATTGAATGAAGTTACCTCTGTGGGATTTTGCCTGTCCTGTCTGTTGCCTTTGTTGTCCAAAGCAGAGGAGTTGTCGTTCACAGACTTATAGGATATCATATCAGGATGCTCTATATCATATATAGCCTTGACTCTGGGAATTGCTGCTAAGTCTCGGTAATCAATGATCTCATTATCTACTTTTGCCTGGGACCAGGAGAGGGAGGAGAGGGAGAAGACACAGAATATGGGAGATAGAAGGCTCAGACAGCACAGGTCAGGTGAAAGGTCAATGGTTGCTTATTACATCATTTCAGGGAGGAATGAAACTTTAATCCCACAACACCACGTTTGTCTGAGTATCACAAGTGAAGCGAAAAGATTGCATCACTGTGCGAAATGTCTACCATAATCTGTTTAACTGTAAACTTTATTTCTCAAACTTTCAAATATAAAGAAGGTCAATTGTTATAGGCTTGTATGTTGAGGTGACTTGTTGGGGGTAAAGTTTACTCCATCATAGGATACTGGGTGGAGGAAACAAAGAGATACTGAGGTGGTTTTTCTATTCAATTTCAATCTGAATCTCCAATGCATTCAAATTGATTAAGCAAATAAATCTAAACTCCTGTTCAATATGTGGTTGATTTTCTCAGTATATTTATAAAATAATTGAGAAAATATATCATCATTCAACCACAATTGAAATCACATTTTTCTCTCACAAGCAAGATGAAACTAGTTCCGATCAGTCAAGGTAAAGTAGAAAAAGAAATGTTTACAGAGAAATGAAATAGCTTTCAAGATTTGTTTTTTTTTTCTTTTTCCACGTCTTTTTTCCATATTTTCCTAATTGTATTCAGTTACAGTCAAAAAGAATTGTCTTGCAAGAGAGACACTCTGTCCATGCGGCTCCCCTGTATAAATAAAGGGATAAATGAAACGTAAATCAGCCCACAGTGAACTGTGCACCATGGAAGATGCTGAGCAGATGTTGTCACCAGAACTTACACAGATAGTTCGACCAGGACTTCCTGGAGTGCATGAGCCCGGCCTGGAACAGGAGCTTTCAGACGAGGATCTAGTGGGCTGAGGACAAAAAAAAAAATAGCTGTGTTAGTTTTGGATTTACGGGATGTTTTAACTGAGAAACAGCTTCATCTTCAGCTTGTAACATCCTCTCTCAGCAGCTCATTGCATGCACACAGAACTTGATGCTTGCATTATATGTGGACCAGTTTTCCTTTCACATAGATAGCGTACAGTGTAGGCCTGGTACAAAACAGCATATGTCCAATGTTCTATATTGTTATTCATTTAAAAATGACACACTGCTGTATATTATATTGTGCAGATTGCAAGGCCAGATATTAACACAGCCAAGCATGCAGCTCTGCCAACAAAGAAAGTTCGCTATGCTACTTCCTTTTGAAATGTTAATTATTGCACATATAGTGTACCAGTGCTCTACAAATTAAAAGCTCTTCTAGCTAATCATTCTCGGTGCAAAAAAAGCAAAGTGTTCATGTTGCGTTTGAAACAAGCGCATGTGGTTAATCTCAAACGCTGAGATAACGGCCTCTGGTAAACCATCAGTGCAAACAGCAGACCAGCTTCACAATATTAACCTTAAGTTCATGTGGGGGGAAAAAGAAATCAAGAGGTGTTTTTGGTCTGCCGACCTGGGAAGGAAGAGAATGTGTAAACACATTATATAGTAAAGTCTTACACAGATATCACACTCTGATCCTCTTTGTAACAGCAGTCACAACAGCTGGATATTAACAGCTTAGGAGTGAAATCATGTCACGCTGCCTCCAACATGTTAAACTCTCACACATAGAAATAAGGTTGAGTGTTAAGTTCGGGAGAACTTACCCTGTAACTGTCCTCAGTTCTGCTGCTGTCCCTGCAGTCCGGGTGCCAGACTGTCGATCCTGTGAACACTTCGCAATTAGCTGCTGCATCTTACACTTACAGTGATACTGGAACTCCAAACCTTTTGTTATCTTTAACAAACAAGGCTTTGAATTTATGCATTCATCCAAGGCTAAATCCATATTTTGTATATTAACACAATGGTTATAATGGCTATAAACAGACCTTGCAGATACATTTCTTCTCCTTCTTTGAACATTTTGTCACATCGGCTGCATCTTGCACAACTCGGGTGATAATGTTTGTCCCCTGCCTGGAGCAGATAATGAGGAAGGTAAAAAAAAAGTGTCAGATGGACTGTAAACATACACAAATCGCACAAAGTGTGCATGCTCAGAAATCAAATTACAGTCACACTCAGAAGTGATTTTACTTTCATTGCCATAGGAAGCATATTTTTTTTCTATGGACAGAAAGTTGATATTTGTGCTGAATTTAAAAGTATACAGGAGCATGACTCTTCCTACCTCAAGGACTTTCCCTGTTATAAACCTCTGACATGCTTCACACTGCACCCCAAACTGAATCTGGTAGTCTCTCTCACAATAAGGAACACCATCTCTGAAAGACAAAACATTAAATATTAAAAGACACATTTTCTCATTCCTGATATGATGGTGCATATTTACAAGTGTAAGAGCAGGTAGGCAGAGGATCATGAATAACAGAGAAGGTGGGCATTTGCATTTACTTGCTGATGTATTCTCCGCTCAGCACTTTCCTGCAGGCTTTGCACTTGAAGCAGCCCAGGTGCCACTGGCCACCGAGGGCTAACAGAGCCTGGCCATTCTTGATGTCTCTCCCACAGCCACTGCAGTCTGAAAACACACATACATATTCCTTGAGAGTGAACATTGCACATCCAACAGACTCTTTTTTGAAATTCATATTAGACTAAATGTATTCGGCCAGTTGTTCTGGTGATACTGTATAGTTACTGTATATTAGATCCTGTAACTAATTTTCTCTAATTATTTGTTTGTGATTTATACACGTATTAACTGAACATTAAAAGTAAAAGTCCATCTGATATCACAGAACTAGAGCTAATGCACTCACTCTTTGTGCTTATCTCTGTAGATTTTTTTTTTAAACATGCACCTTTCTACACAGTCCTGCAGAGAGATCCTCTTAATCCAGAGGCTTTGTGAGTCTGGATCCTCTATTGATCCCTGCTGTATATATAGCTGGTAGGTGGATAAGGTCAAGCTGAGATGGAGAGTTGAGTTCTACAACATCTCTTCGTCCATACTGAGTCACTGGCATGGCAGGGTACCAGGAGAATGAGCAGATTTGTAAGGTAATGTCAACTCAGTGCTGTGGCAAACATATGTCTCTCTGTACCTGGAGGAGGTCAGAGTGGTATTAGGGGCAACATTTAGCCTGCATTCCTGACAGTGTGTGGACTTTCAAGACCTTACAGGTAATCTCCCGGGTTCAAGCCGAAAGTGACGGCTCCTGTCAGGTCCTGCAGAGTCATGATGATGATCTTTGATGTTCACATCTTTGCCCTAATGACACGCAAATCTCTCATGAATGACCTCAAATGACCTACTGGCTAGTTTCAAAAACACACTGGAGCTTGACCTCAAAACATGAGGAAGGAGCTACACACACTGGAGTATAATCAGATGTGTCACTTGCAGAAAAAGTGTAGAGATTGTTATCTCTCTATGATGAAGACAGTTGACAGGTGGCACAGACCTTGAATGACTCCACATCACAGAATAAAGTAAATAAACAGGCAGCTGGCAGAGGTCCACATGTGTTCATGTGACTGATCAGACTCTTTCATCTAATTTTCTACTTTCTATTCATTATTATATATATAAACTATATTATTTTTCATAAACTGTACATCATACTTAGATTATGAAAGAATGCACTCACTACTGGAATGGTTGATGTCGTTAGGAGTGGGAGTCACAGGCCGAATACATCGCTGACACAGGCAGTCTTTTCCATTGAAGGTGACACAATCCCCAGCAGGAAAGGGCTGCCTGAGAGGCAGAGACAGAGACAGAGGTATACCTCCACAATTCTTTGGAAAAATACTTACTCTAATATTCCTCTAATATTCTTAAAACTAAAAACCCAAATAATTAATAATTGTTTTCACAGTTACTTGCAAATGGTGCAGGCAAAGCATGCTGGGTGATAGGTCTTCCCCAAGACTGTGACCACTTCTCCCTCCACAAATTCCCCGCAGTTGTTGCAGAGGGTGCCGTGAAGCCTCTGGAAGTCCAGCGGACAGAGGTAGTCGCCATTCTTCATGAAGAAGCCGCTCTGACCCAAGTCACAGCCACACACTGCACACACACACACAACAGACACAACACACACAGACACACACACACACACACACACACACACACACACACACACACACACACACACACATTCATACAGGGAGCAAGAGAGATTCAGAGACTGAAAGAAAACTTCAACCAAACAAGGAGCATCATCCTGATATTAGCTACCTCAGTTTTATTTTGAAATCCACAAACTGTTTGACTTTATATGAGCCAGATTTCACTCTAAAAGCATCTTTCTTGATTTATCCACTAGCCTTTTGTAAAAATAAAAAAAATAAAAACATTTGGACAAGGTGTTTGTATGTTCTTATATGTGATACACCTGCTTTATATAAATATATTTTTTAGTTTACATTGTTGCCTTTTGTTAGGATATTGTTACAAGGAGAAGTTGACAACAGCTACGTAATCTATCAAAGGGATGACATCAATGCTATTTGGGCTGTCTGACCTTATGGTTATTCCAGGCTTGTTGAAGGGTTGTTGTTGTGTTGTCTGTCTGCACGTTTTTGTGTCCGTGTGTGTGTGTGTGTGTATGCTGATGACATGGAGGCAGCTTTTCTCTCAGCTTGTTTGGAGTCATTTGATATGACCAAAACCTTTTCCGACACTGTGCCTCGGAACCTGCCACAGCAGAACGCACTGAGATGCCAAGGACAGATTTATGCTGCTCTATTCCTGACCTGCTGTGAGACACTCACAATGGACATGAGTTTTATTTAAATTTTCTATTTTTAAGTCTGATTAAAACAAGCACAAACACGCTTCAACATTCCATTAACCCACAAAGTGAGACAGATTTTTGTTTGACTTATGATAATAAATGCATAATAAAGCAAGTGCCCAAACAAATTAAGCAAATTCTGAGTCTGTGAAACCCACAGACCCTTTGCATCCTCAGGTCTTCCCACCGTTAAAATACTGAATGCTTCTCTGCTCTGAAAGTCTCTTTGTCTTCTCTGCGCTGTAAACAGCATCACAATGCGATGAAAGGGCAACAACACGAGAAGCTTGTCAGTGTCGATTAGTGGGGACAATAGTGTGTTGGGGGAATATGTTTTCCATGAGGCAGAGTAGCTCTGGTGAATGACCGTCTGACGATCCAGGAGGTTCTCACAACAGCCCATTGTACATGTAGAATGTTTTGTAATAAACTAAATCTGATGGCAGCCGCAGGATAACTAATGAATGAGGAGCAAATTCTGCTCAACTTTAAACTCATCTGCTGAAAATAAGCTGTTTTCATGCAGCAAAAAAAGGTAAAATGTGACTTTTGTTACTGCTTGCATACAACTGAGTCCCCACCACAGAATGAATGCATTATTAGGCTTCTTATGCCACTCATGTTACAGAGCAGCTTTCCAATCCACCCTTGACCTTTCCTGATAATGTATAAAGTCTATCCTGACAGTGGTGTCATTGCAAGACACTCCAAAAGTGCATGTGCACCTGCTCACATCAACATAATGATGGTACTCACCTTTGCAGGTAAAGCACTTTATGTGGAAGTGATTGTTCTGGACTCGCAGCACCTCTCCTTTGCATTGCTCCCCACATCTGAAGCACTGAATGACCCGCTTTCCTGCCGGAGGGTCTTGGTGGCAGCCATCCTGAGTCAGCAGCACTACAGCAGCAGCAGAAACAATACGTCAATCAGTTGAGTCTTGACTGATAAAAACCACAAACGTCGACCTCATGTCGGATTTACATGGAAAGTCAGGGGAGTCATTAAGATTCAGCATCTGGGGACCATGATTTTCTGCACCAAATTTCATCCTATACTATTTGAGAAATTTGAGTCTGGACCAATGAGTAACCATCGTTCTCTCTCTGTCACAGTAGGTTTATCCTTTTTTTTTTTTCTGGTCGAGCAGTTCATTACAATACAGTAGTCCCTGAGAATTGTCCATTCAGTGCTTACATAACTGAACATAATGTCCAGGGACGCTTTGTTTTGGCACACAAACACACACACACATATACATACATACATACATACATACACAAACGGGGTCACAGTAATCTGTAGAGGCTTTAATCCAAGTGATTCCTGCCTCACAAAATCAGACAAGAGCTCACAAATAAGCCATTATTTCTCTGGAGAGGTAAAAACACTGTCAGCGTGGGTGTTTGCTCCTGTGCGCCAAACCATGTGTCATACTGTATCATGTGGCTCTGGAGACGAAAGCTCAACCTCATTCTTTCTCCTTCTGTCTCTTTCGTGTTTATATGGCAGCAGAAGCGGTGGATGCCTGTACAATCTAATCACAGCCCACTTGAAAGGTCCTGAATGTGATTAGCAGAGGAGAGCGAGGGAAGAATGTGGCACGTCGAGAGTCTCCCCGACGTGTGGACACCCCAGCGCACAAATAGATAAAACACACAAACACACACACACACACACACACAAACTTAAATTCACTCATGAGGCAGATAACAGCTTAAAATATACCTTAAGTTATTCAACCAGAACAGAGAGATTTTCACACTCGTGAATGTTGGAAGAGGAAATATTTTCTCGACTGTTCTGGTTACCTAACTCAGCCTCGTGAACACTAAGAAAATTGAGTCAAGCACCTCTGGTATGTGGCCCTTAAGTCTGCCCCACTACAGGAGAGATTTGTTGCTATAGCAACAAACATGTCGTAACAAACTAGATTAAGGGACCATGCCTTCCAAAGGTTAATGTAAAGTTCACCATAAAGCAAGTGTGTACATTATGCAGTGTTGTGGCAATAATTACCTACCACAACGTGCCATCTAACTGCAGTGCAAACTGTGTTACTGATGACAAAGAGTCGTAATCCACAACATACCTGCTACAGCTGTAGGAGAGACTGCTGAGTTTTTACAAGTGCTTGTGCCTAAATCTCCAAAAGCAGAGCAACATTACAAATCTTACTGTGACGTTTTAAATAAGCAACAAGCAATACTTATTGTTTGCATCATGCAAACAGGCATTAGGGACACTAATGTTGAAATTTTGACATCATATCTGCCAGCAGAGCAGCTTTGCTAAAAGCTATGAGGTCAAGTCCACACTGTGATTGGGATTCTACACAGACACAATGTGCATATTATGCAATCACATAAAAACTTGTGAACATTAGTGTTATCTCTGCCAAACCTCCAAATCCTACCGGGAATACGACACGTCCTTCTGGTCGAAGGCTCCAACAATTACTGACCTTTGTCCTTAAACAGCCCAGATATTTGGTAATGACAGAGCTGTGTTGCCAACACTAATTATTGCAATCCATTTGTCATGGGGAAATGCACAGAACTACTGCAACAGTTTAATATTCACATGACAGGTGTGTCTGCGCTGTTATCTTGTATATAAATTCCAACCTTTGTATGATTTAAGAACGGATGTGTGGAGTCCTCAGATGGAAAGTCCAAAATGTCTTCCAGTCTTTCTTGATCTCTCCCAGAATGTGAAGCTGATCCGGTGTCAAGTATTAGCAAATGGTAGATTTAGAAAGACGGCAAATGGAGAGAAACCTGAGACGGACAACTAATCACACAGGCCACTATCTCCAGCTATGAAAATCTGTGTGTGTGTGTGTGTGTGTGTGTGTGTGTGTGTGTGTGTGTGTGTGTGTAGTGTGATGTACTGTATGTGTGTGTGTGTGTGTGTAAAGAGTGAGGGAGTATCTACATTAAGTGTCCAGATTTTTTAAGCACTGATGCTATTTTAGGTACCAAGTAATGAGATGTAAAGTATGCATGGTACCATACTATTATATTTTTTGACCATACAGTGAGGTCATTTACTTTTACTACAATACTATCTTTGTTTCAATGATATTAGCGTGTGTGTCTGTGTGTGTGTGTGTGTCTTTTTAGGAATAACTCATTGGTTGAATTACTTGCTGTTTACAAGATGATGTTATTGGTGATAATGTAATAAGCTTTAAGTAAAGTGTTTTCAGATTCAGAGTTTTTAGTGGCTCTGAGTGTTTTCTTGGTTACAAATATTTTATTTCACAACACGAGGTGGTTATCATGCGCCTGTATGTCAGGAACACCCAGTTTCCCAGGAACATGACATCACTAAATATCATCAGAGTTACAGATACTACCGCTGCAGAAAAAAAAAACAATAACTGTGAGATGTAAATGTAAAAGCTCATATAAACTACATCCAGCCAGTGTCAGTGCAGCGATTCCAGCAGTTCCTGAAAGGGAATCAGACTCTGTGTATCAGATCGGCAAATGGCAGGAGGCTCTTATCTGAACAGCCACCAGTCTGGTGAAATGAATGACAGTGTTTTTTCCATGATGCTGTCACAATAGATGATCGGTTTGTTGCCTGTTACTACAAAATTGAATAATCAAGGCAAACAACTTAATTCAGAGGTATTGCTAAAATCACATGCTGGTCTTACCCAAGCCTGATGCTCTACGACAAGCTGCAACAGCTGTGTTTGCACTTTTCCCCACTTGGCCACCACAGTTTTGTTTTGTTTTTTATCTCCAAATGTAGTTTCTAGATTTGGGAATGTTTGGTTTGAGAGTCTTAATAGATCAAAAATATAAAAAGTAGAGCATTAAATAATGTAACTGTTTTAAGAATTCATAGACCGGAGCTGTTACACATCCAATCTCAACCTTACCAAATAATAACAATGTCCTGCCTAGAAAGGACTTATGATAACACTGCAAAGTATAACACAATGTATAACATAAGACCATTATGGCTCAGTTTGCATTGAGCAGTCAAGACAAAGTTAAAATCCATAACCAGTCAAATTAAACCTCTATGGTGGCATCACATAGAAAACCAAAACACAAGAGGCACAGAGAACAGACAAAGTGAAATACACAAAGGTGTTGAGCATTTAAGTTACAATGAAAAAAAATATGTCACATTCTTCAGAAATGATCGTTACTGTGGCCAAATATGTAACCATGGATCAAGACATGACAAGAATTGGATACTTCATCACAAGTTGCAAACAAATTATATAAAGACAAACATAAAGCAATCTGCAGATAAAATGAAATGACTACCTTTCTCTTTCATGACAGTTGGTTTCTGCTCTTTGTTTCTCAGGGCAGCGGATCAGAGTGAGGAGAGGAACTAACTGGACTGCTGGTCCAGAGGAAAAGGGGGTGGTCCAAAACACAGAGGGCAAGAGTTATTGTGTGTGTGAGTGTGTGTGTGTGTGTGTTTGAGAGAGAGAGAGAGAGAGTGTTCTCAAAGAGTACAGTAGGAGTGGCACTGCAAAGTATTCTTATTCGTATTTCAAGACTTGAGATGTGAAAAATGTTTCCCAGATATTGTTATTTGTTTGAATAAATGTCTGATTTTTGAGAGAACTACTCCTTCAATAGCCAGATAATGGACGGTGGCCTTTAACGTGCAGATAAGTGACTTGTAGTGTTCCTTTAGTGGTAGTATCTGTGAAATGAATACAAAGTCTTTATGTTTGTGTAGAGGTAAGAAGGGGTTGGTTAAGATGGAGCCAGAGGGTTTCTGTCATAAGGTACATCTTCGAAAACACTTCTAATCTCCAAATAAATTGTAGCACATAATGACAAGTCATTCATATAATAATTAGTGGAGCTACCTCAACTAAAGGATACCACTCATCACAACCACATAAAGAAGGGAATGATTCAATACCTGCCATCTCTGCAGGCATACCAGCCAACTTCTCACACAGGATGTAGTCATCAGGGTTGATGAAAGGCAGCTGCTCCATCATGGACTGTTTAGGAATGAGGTAGAGAACTTCTGCAATTTCACCATCTTCAATTATTGACATACGCCTGACTGAGTTCTTCCTCTTGACCCGGTCCAAAACGACCATTTCATTGCTGTGGCTGGAGCCGCAGATCCTGCCCAGGCTGCTGAGGTTGAGAAGGCTCGACATGCTCGCGCTGTCCAGACCGTCAGCCGAACGGTTAAGGCTGCAGATGGACTCCAAGTGAGAAACCATGAAGCAAAAACCTCAAGATGTTAAAGCCTTCTGTTGAATGGCAGGTATTAAGTTGCTCTCTAAGACTCTGTGACTGACTCAGCGTGTGTGTGTGTGTGCATGCGTGTGTGTGTGTATGTGTGTGTGTGTGCATGCGTGTGTGCCTGTGTGTGTGTGTTGTCCATCAGGCGATCAAAGACTAACTCCTACCCCCCGACCCTTAAGAAGATTAAGTGAGGTATATTTTTAGGGTTTATCTTCACAGTAAAAAGAGGATCTGAGCTCTAGGAAGTCACTATCAAGTAACCTTCTTCCCTCCATTCCTGTGACTTTGACAGATATGTCATCACATGAGATGCATTCCTCCACTGGGGCACACTTGTAAGAGGATTATGAGCTGTACCTCTGTATTGTATCATCTATTTATGTATGTATTACAAAATAATATTATTTAAAGCTTCAGGTCGGCCAGTTTCTGTCTGATCCCTGGTTGGATTACAACCGAATACAAGCACCAGATGGACACAGAATAACTCATCTTCAAAAACCTTTCATAACATTGATGTTTTTTTCTCAGTAATCCACCGTGTTACTCAGCACTGACTGCAGTCTTTTGGATGCTTAGCTTTAGATCAGGGAACTCTCTACTTTTAACCTGGCAGACGGTCAGGGACAGGTGGTTGGCACTCTGAACCTGGATCTTTAGAGAGAACTTGTTGTACTAAAGTATTTGAGGACTGCAGCACTATTCAAGACCGGACCGCTAAAAACTATTCAGATGTTTACAGTGTGTTAATTCTATGTAAAACCATAAAATCGGATGAATTGATTGAAAGCGATGGCTCAAAACCAGGTAACATTTTCTACCAAAACACACCTGTCTTATCAAAATATACTGAGCTGCAGACCTCTCCTTTCACGCCACTTGCACAAACAGAAAAATATGTTTTAACCCACAGGAAGAGAATAAAGTCAAGCTAGACTCTTTATTATTTAGTCGTGTGCCTATCAGGGTGAGTAGGCCTACTGTATGTGCGTCTGCAGAATACTTACTAGTGGACAAAAAACATTGGCACAAGTGGTGCAAGAGAGAGGAATATGTACATGTACAGGGTGTTCCGATGTGATGACTCTTCTATCGCAGAGGAACAGGCTTAGAAGTATAAAATAATATATAATATATATAAATCTGTGTACCTAAAACATGTCGTGCTGCCATATTTATCTGAAGCTATTTTAATGAAAGCTACATACTTGCAGCTGTTGACAGTATGATGGATGTGATATGAAGAACTGTAACCATGACTACCTATCACACATACCCTCACTAACTTACAGAAAGGCTTTAGATATGTTAACATCCATTTACTGAGGAACAATAGAACTAAAATAAATTGTCGACTAATGAAAAGAAACTCCACAAAAGCCCAAGTAAAGCCGCAGAGAGACTCACACACTATTATCCCACACTGACCACATAAATGTGTAATGAGCTCCACCTACTGACTGTAATGTGCTTTACGTGTTTTGCTGAGAATTTAAAAAGGAAATTCTATCGGTTACGCTGGTCAAATTTACAGTGTACTGCATTGTAAAATGATTCTCTACATTTACAGTTCATGTGCTGATTTCAGATGTCAAATATGATGAATGTGAGTTCTTCATGTTTTTTTTTTTCTTATCGTTAGTATGTATAATGTTTGTTGATGATTCAGAATTTACAAATACCTACAATCCACCGCCAGCTGGATGCTACCAAGCAAACATGTAATTATCAAGCTTATTTTTTTTAGACATGCGACATCAAGATTTCACTGTCGAAAGAACAGCATTTTATTTTTTGATGTTTTATGTAAAGTAGATAAAATTCCCTTTGTCAGTTACACAAATAAAGAAAATCATAAAAAAAACAAACAATTAAATTTTGTGACATGCAATCTTACACAACATCAAAGTTGTTTAGTTACCTCAGTCACTGACTGTGCAGTTATGGCAGCGCAACCGACTGATGACTGAAGATAAGATCGATGAGTATCGATTAAAAAAAGAAAAAGAAAAAAAAAAGTTAGTTTGGATTTTCTTGGTGACATTTGACTTTTTTTTCCTACTTACCCGCATCATTTAAAAACCTAAAATGCTAAAATGCATATTTACTATAACATATTACTATTTGGGTGTAAATACTGTTTAAAAGGCATTTTTTATCCATTAATTCTGTAAACCATCCCCTGTAGCAACCAAAGATACTATGGAGAACCAATGAGGTTTCAATGAGGTCGACAAAATCCAGTCTGAAAACTGGTGATGGAAAAAAATCAAAAAGAAAGAGAGAAATGTTCATGAGTTGATTGAACGAGATCGAACAGCACCATCATCTTCATCGTCATTTTGCTCTTCCTCTCCCTGGGTGAGTGGCTCTCTGTCTGAGTCTCTCTCACCCTGCCCTGACCTCTTAGTCGTCTTGTTCAGGGTCCCGCCCTGTAGGAAAACAAATATTAACTGAACACACTGTACATGGTGATAAAGTCAGCTCACACAAGACACATACAGAACATATATAAAACGGCACACAGGCAGTCTAGAAGATGTCTGACCTGTCTGTGGTCGACAATGTTGAGCAGCACTGAGGTGACGATGCAGCTGATGGTGTTGGCCAACATGAAAATCATCATCCTCTGCCAACGCCACAACGGAATCTTTGTTTCACTGGCCGACAAATTGAGAAAACCGTACAGGTAAGTCAGGATATATGAAATAAAGCATGGACCATCAGTGCAGTGCAGTGTTACCTACCTAGACTTGGTGCCTAAGATCTGTCCGACAACCAGATTGGACACCCCAATCCCAACCATCTGTATGGACGTGGCCAAGCCCATGGCTGTTCCCAGAGTGGCCTGAGGTACCACGAGGGGAATAGACGGCCACATGCTGGCCTGTGATACAGCACCGAAAGGAAAAAGACAACACACATCAAATCAAATGAAAACAAAGTGTAAATTATTTTCATTTTCAGTTCCTTTTTTTTTGTTACATTTACCCCACTCAGCCACTAATGTAGAGGGACTGGAAACTATAATAGACACTACACACAATATAGAATGATTTAAGGCAAATCATCCACAGTTTAAACAATTAACCAGGACAATGATTAGTGAAATTTACAACATATGAGAACAACATTGACATTTAACTGAAAAAAAATGACGTGTTATTTGAGACTATTTGAGTCAAACTCACAGCAGCGAAGGAGTAAGTGACTCCCAGCCATATGGTGGAGACCAGAGGAGGGACGAAGGTGAAGGCCAGGAGTCCAAACACAGGCAGCGTGAGGACTGCACAGGTCAATGCAAAAATGCCCCGCAGACCCACATAATCCTAGAATGCACATACAAGAAGGTCACGAATTACACCAACCTACCTTCTTGTTTTACACTGCTTCATACTAGAGGTTTTTGAATAATTTTGGGACAGGGAACAGTTTGGGACAGGATACAGATACTTACTATGAGAATGCCCACGCTGGCTGACAGGACCAGTGAGCTGTCATAAACTGCCCCAGCGATATAGGCCGCCTCCTTCTGACTATAGCCACTGTACTTATCCTGAATGAACTTACTGGATAGGAAAAACACAGCATGGGTGTCCATGTTAAAACAGAATGTGTGCTCATGTTTATGCACCATGCATCAATATATTTCTGTCTGTCAGGATCCCTACAAATAATACTGTGTGTACAGTACTAGCCTTTAAGAAACCCAGTTCAAATATATGCATGAGTTGTGCGTTGATAACTCTACCTGGCATCTGCAATGAACGGGAAGATGCCGTTGTAGAAGAACATGATGGTGAGAACCAGGAGCCAGTATCTTAGCGACAGGAGCTTCACATCCTGAATCCTCTATACACACGTACACACAAACAAATAATTGAGTCCATACAATTGCTTTAGGACGTACTGCGTGCTTTATAATGATGCCGAAATTGGGTTATTTTTAAAAGATAGTGTCCTACCACTTTACGAGATTCCTCTTGGATGGCTCCATCAAGACCAAGCTGCCTCATTCCAACCTTGTCCAGGGCACTGACTATGATGGCAGATATAAAGCCCAGCACACATAATATTGCACCTAGAAAACAAAGCATCATGTGGCATATAATATGAGAAGAATACATAAATCATGCCATAAATCTTGAGGTTACATACCACCCCAGAGTGTCCACTGCATGCCATATTTGTCTTCAAACTTCTGGGTGAGGAAGAAGTTCAGGACTGAACCCAAGCGTGAGAAAGCCAGGGTCAGACCAAAGGCCAAGGCCAGCTCCTTCCCTTTGAACCAGAAGGCTGTGATGCGGTTCTGAACAACTAGCAAGGAGGAGGATGAGAGTACGGTTTAGGAGCATTCCTCAGAGTTGACCATTGTAAAGAGTTTTGGCGTCCGTAAGGTGGCCTTACTGGTCAGAGATCCATTGCCTGATCCAAACAGCAGTCGGCCTGTGAGCATTAGTGGCAGCAGATAGGGAGTTCCTTTGAAGTGGGAACCCAGTGCAAACAGGGATGAGCCCAAAACACACAGGAAAGAAAACAGAAACACCCCGACTGCATAGAGGAGGAGACAGACATTGAAATAATTCTATTTGTCTTCTACTTGTTTAAACAGATTTGCAAATAAGATGAAAACAAACTTACAGCGGTTTCCTAATTTGTCGATCAGGAACCCCGCGATAATCACCACCACTGCATTCCTGTTGATAGGAGAGAAAAACGACAACTGAAGCTGTACTCCGATAAGCCATTTATCAGTTTATGTGCAGTTCAGTCAATTCAGTTCAGTCGTGTGTGTACTGACGTCCAAGCATAGATTGCATAGAGAAGATTATACTGCTGAGGGCTCATCCCCAGTCCCTCCACACAGTCCACTGTCCCATTGATCACTGTTGCGTTGGGACACGTTAGGTTCTGGTCAGATAAGAGGAAGGCAATGATTTAAGTTAGTATCTCACCAAAAACTGAGGTCAGAGCTGGACATCCTGACACCAAATTACAGAGGTACAATGTTGAGGAAATGTGGAGAAATCATTTGATACTGATAATATCATTAAGCTGTTCTGCCCTGCTACCTCTTACTCACCCCTTGGAACTGATCCTGTAGGACACTGGGGATGTCAAAGCAGAAGTAGGAGCCAAATGTCAGCAAACAGTTGAAGAACAGCACCACAAAGCGATAATATGCTGTAAAAATAACAAAGAATGGGATGACTGGTTTCCCCCAGCTGTTTTAACTTCACAAACTATTACTATGAAAGTGGACAAGAAAGGATATGGATGGACAAGAGGAGGTACTGACACAACTGAAGGCTTCAGTATTTCACCACATAGCAATGACTCAAAAGAAGTTCAATTGCATGGCTTATCATCTTGCAGATTAAGTTAAAAATTCAAGTGAAATAACAATAACAACAGCACATTTTGAGCAGAGGGGGACTTTAAATTCTGTTAGCTGATTTTCCCTCCTGAACTTTTTTCTAATAGCAGCTTTCATGTTTACCTCACTGCAGAATTAGCTCATAGCCTGCCTTTTATTGTTTGTTTTTTTTTTAAAACAATACATTCCTAAGATAGTAAGTCATTAGCTAACATTAAAGTTCAGGCTACTTCCCATTTAGTCACATGAAATCAGCGTAAAATGCTGAGCTGGTCATTCAGTGGCCCAGTTTTTCAGGGAAGTATATTGCAGGTTTACGACACAGAGGTCTGGTACTCTAGCCAAAGCAACATTTGGTGACTAAAGTAGCTACCTTTTGAGAATTAACACTATAGTCCGACGTACCTCTCTCTGCCGGTTGCGCCATTGTGAGGAAGAAGGACGTTTGCAATAAAATAAAACTTCCAAATCACATCCTTTAGTGTTGTTTACATAAACAGCCTGGAGTATCGGGGTCGCAGGGAACGGTGAGGTCTGTTTCAGCTACTCTGGCCTGGTGTCCGCAGACCGCAGCTCTTTAAGCTACATGGATCGATCTGTTGTTGTGTAAGGAGGAAGCCGATGGTTTGGAAATCTGCGCACATAACATGCTAGATCGTTTTTTTGTGCAGAAACTTTATTTATAAAGAATAGTAAGGAATAATTAAAATTATTAATCAACCTTTTCAACAGCAGTTTACTGTTGTATTTATGTCATTTTAAAAACTTTTGTAGAAAAGAAAAACAAGAATAAGGCTGGACAGAAATTATAATGATTTGTTTTTTTCATATTTAAAATATATAAATACACGTTTTCTTTCACTAATTAAGTTTGAACAATATTTTTCAATTACAATTATTAAGTGTTGGGATTTACAAAAAAACTACAATTACAATCAATGTGAGTCAAAAAGCACAAGTTAAAAATATAACTGGGTGTAAACATTTGTATGGTATTTTATTCTTGTTTATTCTTATTATTTTGAATGCACCATTAACATCCCTAAAATCTATTACATACACATCCTTTCTGATTTCTTTCCAGCTAACATAGTCTTTTTATGCTTGTCAAATCAACATTTAATAGAAGTTTCAGTCTATTAAAATCTTCATAAAAACAATGGAGCAAAAAGGATTAACCAAAACCATCAAATTGCCCATTAGGGCTGCTTACTTTAGTCTGACTCCGAGATAACAACTATATTGGTCACCTCAATATTTACATATTGACATTTTCATATTGAGAATAAATCTAGTACAACTGAAGATAGGTTGCGGTGTATATATGTGGTTCCAGTATTCTACCAAGTCTGATCACACATAAAGTACAGCTAAATCTTAGTTTTAAATCTTTTAAAGTCCACCATTCCTTCCTTGCGTCATTGTGTCCTGAAATTTAAATCAATAAAACCAACATGTGTCGGCCAGTTTGTAGTCCACCTGCTGACAGCTGCTGTGTGTCTCTCTTTGACTTCTGCTATTTCTAATTAAAGACCTGTAATTTACTTTATATTATAAGATATCTCTTTGTAAAGGTTTCTTGCAGGATAAAATGCGAATATATGTAGCGCGTTTTACACTTGTCCCTCAGCGGACACCATAGGACACTGGTGATAAAAACATTGTTGTCCCAATTTAAAGAGTAGCATGCGCTTCAAAAACTGTGTGTGTTCACGAAGGTGGACTATGCCTTAAACCTTGGAAATGTCTGTCTTGCGTAGGGCTAAAACATGGGAAATATCTGAGTCTGAAGAGGAAACCGACACCGACACAAAGTCCGATTTAAACCATGATGAAAGCAGTGAAAGAGCGACAACAGTCAGCACGGGCTTGAAAGAGGGTCCGAGTTCACACCACAAACGTAAAACCTCGTCGGCAACAAGAAGTGAGTCTAGTCACACTTCTGCTTTGCCTCCTCCGCGCCCAGAAGGCTCCGGCACACCAAGTCCTGCGAGAAAACGCCGCACCAAGGAAGAGATAGAGGCGGACAGAGAGAAAGCCAGGGAGAGGAAGGAGGAGAGAGAGAGGCAGAGAGTAGCCAGAGCCCAGGAGAAGGAGGAGAGGAGACAGGAGCAGCAGAGGAGGAGAGAAGCCGCGGAGAACCTCAAGAGTCTCAGGCCGGAGAACTGCCTCAAGTGTCTGACTGTTTGCATTGATCCAGGTAAGCAGGCTCACCGTGGTGCCTTCAGGTGTTGTCGGAAACTTTGCGGCCATTTGCTGAAATTGACAACATGTCATGTCATTAGGTTATAACAATAGGCTGCATATAGGGATATGCATCTACTATAAGCCAGTGTGTTTCTCTCCAGCTCTTCTGCAACAGGATGGCTCAGACATCTTGCTGGATACTCTGGCTGCCTTTGAGTGGAGGTTCAGCATTGAGAGCCAGCAGCTTCCTCACTGCATCACCTGGACCAGAGATTTACCCCAGGTAAGCACAGGATGCTTTTCATAAGAGACAAACCTAACAATACTAAAATTCAACTTACCTGGAGCTTCTGGTGCGTGCAGAGCTACTAATGAAAATGTCCACATCTGAATGTTTTGTGTACGCTGTATGTTATCTACATCTGTAAAGTCAATATCTGGACTCTTTCTTTACGTATGCTGAGTATGTCCTTCTTTTTTCCAGTTTCTTCAGTGCAATTATCACAGTTTTGTTTTTAGCAGGGAGACGACGGCATGGGCTCAGTGGAGGAGGAGCAAGTGGTGCTGGTGCTGGGTCTGACTGACTTCATGGACATGGTGATTTCTGTGAAGACAGTAAGCAGCCTTTCAAGTTGTAATAAATGAACTCTATTGGCAGCCCACAGGATGGACTCTGCAATAATGTATTTTGTTGCCCCTGCAGATGCTAGACAGTGAAGGGGAGGAGACAGGGGTGGGGTCTTTTCTCAGTCCTCTTTTGGAGTGTCTCAACCGTGATGCCAGGAAGGTTGTCACTCTCTTAGTGACAGACTCTCAGCCAGATTACAGGTCAGTGTATCTGACTGTGACTGTGGCCTATGATGGGCAGAGAGATAGATACTGACTGACTCTTTATTCAGTAAATTTATTATTCTGAATGTATTCATCTCTAGCAGGATAAAACACTTGTGCGTTAGCTTTCAGACTGACCTGACTTATTGGTTTACTTACCAACAGGACAAATGCTTGTGATGTGCAATCTGAATTAGGAATGGAGAATCTTGATATTGAAGAGGTTTGTTTACTTTAAATCATCATAATTTTCAGACCTTAACTGTGAAAATCTCCTGCATGTGAGAGAAATGATGTTTACTGTCCACAGAAGATGAGAGATCTCTTTGGTACTGTCTTTCCAGGTCCTTGTTTACCTACAGCTCTGCAAGAATATCTCACTGGTCTTCCTGGATGGCTGGCAGGAGGTCACCAACCACGTGTGTGCTGTCACTAAGGCCTTATCAAAACGCCCTTTCAAGTATGCACCTACTCGTGTTGTTGTCGCATTAACAGAAAATCAAAGTTTCCTTCAGACATCGACTCTAAACTGTTATTGGCCTGTTAAAAACAAATATACTTGCTCACTAACCATATAAACAACGCTGTTCTCTTTCACTCATGAGATGTCCTTCAATGTCCTCACAGACTCCTGACAGAGCGAGCAGAGCTGCCCTTCTGTGTGGACGGTTCGTGGGCCAGCGGGGTTCGGGTAGAGAGGGATGGCTCGGAGCTGATCCAGGTCTGGAGCAAACAGATCCAACAGCTGAACAGAGTTAGCCCTGCTGTGGCCTCCACTGTGACCGCAGCCTATCCCTCTCCTCAGCTGCTGCTGCAGGTAGACCTGAGTGCTCCTCAACATGGTCCTGCAGAGCTTGTTTACAGAATGAATTCACAAAAATATACATTTTTCTCTTAATTCAATTCCCATGTTTTTTTTGTTTATTTTTTGTTTTGTTTTTAGGCGTACCAGAGCTTGGGGTCCGAAGAGGAGAGGAAGGGGCTGCTGGCTGGTCTCATAGTGAAAAGCGGAGGTAAAGAGAGACGTATAGGACCAGAGATATCAGCCAGAGTTTACCGCTGCTTCACAGCCCAGAACCCCCAGCTGGTCCTGGACTAATTTGTCCACTTGAGAATGAGATGGATGGATATCAGCGAGGATTAATCTGGTTTCTAATGACACTGTGTCACCACTTGGCTGCTAATACATAAATGTTGATGTTTACAAGCTAAATATATTCCTTAGATATCATGTTCACCTTCCAGGAAAGTATTATTTATACTCATCTGAACCCCTGCAGATTCAAGGAGTAGAATATGTTTTGTAAAATAAGGAATTATACAATGTATAATATGTTAATACAATAATCTATTATGTATAAATGTAAGCTGTTCTCCATTAACTGTATAATATTATTTGTATATGTTTGAACTAGTGTATAAAATGAGCTGCAACAGAACCTTTTAATTTAATTTTATAGAATTGCCTCTGTAAGAAAGTTCATAAACAAAGCATAAATGTACAAAGAAAAGCACTGAGTAGCAAATCCTCTTATAAGCATGAACACAACCACTGTTGATATTCAAACCAAATGCTGATTACAAAACACATTTACAAAAAAGTCATTTCCAAAGTATCAAAAGCAACTCCTTTCCCCCTGGAGTCTATCCCTGAGAATAACAAGGGTGTTTTTTTTGCTTTTTTGTCAGAGTCTTATTTGGCAAACATCAGGCCTCACAAAGACAGTGACTGGCATATTTTAAAGATAAAATGAAGAAAAAAACTGAATAATACATATGGCTCTTATTAGCCCCATGATAGAGATTGGCTAAAATGAGAGTGAATGACCTCAATGTCACTCTAATATCTGAACTGCATTAAATGTCTCACAGACTACAGACTCACTCCCTTCGCCCCATTCATTGAGAAAGTTGCCTGAGTGACACAACATTGCTAGATAAAAAAGAGAAACAACAATCCAATTAAATATCCACTCAAATATTGGCTAAAGAATGAGAATGCTGTTTTATCCATGATTTCAAACAGGAGACACTGATGGCAATGGTAGAATAGCTGTGTGCCAAATACTTAGAACTACGTTTTGACTACTTTGTCATGTCCAGCGGCATCTTTTGCATTGGTACTCCTCTGGCTCAGAGCAGCAGCTATCGTAGTCACTGCTGGGAGGAGTTGGAGGGCAGTGGCAAGTGCAGGGCTGAGTTTGAGGTGATGTTTGACAGGGGCACTGGTATGAGACTGTGTCAGGAAATGGGCTGGTGCAGGGGCTCGGAGAGGCGCAGGCACTCAGGCTGGATACCGGGCTCATGATGGGGCTGGGGCTGGGGCTGGGGCTCGAGGGTAGGCTCGTCTCTTCGTAGAAGTCCTCAAGCAAGTCGCTGTGCTGCTCTGAGGCTTCAGGGCTGCTGCTGAGGGTGAAGACCCAGCCCAGCTGTGTGTGGAGGAGGGTGCGCAGGCCTGGGGGCAGCTCCAGAGCACCAAGCATGTCTGGGCAGCAGGGCATCATTTGACGGAGTCGGGCACAGCAAAGGTACTGCAGGGAGGTGGGTGTATAGCAGGCACGGATCACCTTCATACTGCTCTTGGCTGCTGTGGAGCACACCATGGGGTAGAACTTCTTGTTCTGCAGCCTCGTGGCAGCGACACCTGTTGTAGCAGAAGAGGTGACAGGATGAAAACACTGAAACATTAAAATTCTATTTCCTTTGACTGTATATGAAGCTTAATTATGCTGCTTTAATTACAGGGAAACACGGACCTATGCAGTGCCGATTCTTGTAGAAGGTCAGGGTACCATGCCAGGTGTCCAGGTGCAACCCTATGATGGAGCCTTGCCCAAATCGAGAGGAGAACTTCACTTTGTCCCCTTTGTGCTGGAGAAGACCTTTAAACACATGTAGATAAGATATTGAACTGATTATTTAGGTCAAAAAGTCTTTATCCAGTCCTCTGATAACTCATGGTCTATTGTAATCCCTATACTCTGACTCTCTAACCTGTGTAGGAGAGTCCCCAACTGTCTTCATCATGGCCCAGCAGGCTGCCAAAGCTGTATTTGAACTTCTCCAGGTTCACCTCTGAAGTTCCAATTCCCACCATCTACAACAATCAAACAGCAGAAAACAAAACCTCAGAAGAGAGCAGTAGCAGTTCTAGCTCATCATTAGATTATAGACTGTAATGATACTTAACATTCATCTTTTCAAACGGAGGTTGAGAGGAACTTTCACGAGTGTTTTAGGCCACTGTTAATTTAACTTGAGTATGATTGAAGAGACTGCTACCTACCATATCTGTTCCATAGACAGGAGAGGTCATCTTGACTTCCCAGAAGTGTTGGCCGTCTGCCAGCTCCTTGGTGCCGCGAATGGCAGCTGTGCCACAGCTGTAGTCTGAGTGAAAGCTCACCTTCCTGTTGTCACAGCTGAGGAAAGCTCCGGAGGATTTGCAGTTCTCGTCCCATACCCAGTCAAAACCTGAAAACACACCAGACGTGTGCTACACTGACCGGCTACGATTTCATACTTTGTAATTCATTATACCTATGTCAAGGACATTTTTACTTAGGCTATGTCAGTCTGTCGGTTGGTCCACCACTTTGATCCTGACTGAAATATCTCAACAACCACTGAATGGACTAATGTAATGTAATTTGTTATTTGCAATCATGGTCCCCAGAGGACATAGCCGACTGACTCTTGTGATCCTCTGACTCGTCCTGTAGACCTACTGCCACCAGCAGGTCAAAGGGTTTTCACTTTTTCTGTGAAATATCTTAACTGCACGGGATGGCACAAAATTGTGCACAGACATTCATGGTTGCCAGACAATGAATTACTTTGTAGTTTTGACTGAAATGTCTCAACAAGTATTTGGACAGATTGCCATGAAATTTTGCTACTAACATTTGTGTCTCCCTCAGGATGAAATGTAATAATGTAACTCATCTGGCACTATTACAGGTCAAAATGTAATAACATTCCCTTCAGCATCATCTGTCCTTAGTTTGATGCTAATTATAAAATGTTAGCATGCTAGCATGCTAAACTTAGATGATAAACATTATACCCTGTAAGCTTCAGCATGTTAGCTAACATCGTGAGCATGTCAGCATGCTGACATTAGCATTTAGCTCAGCACTGTAAGATTGCAAGCATGGCTTAGGACACTTTTATCCTGTTTGTGTCTCTGTTACTAGGATATTTTCACTTAATTTCACTTCATTTTATTAAATACATGAATAGAGTCAGTGGAATTATGCCATATGACAATCAATAATTACCAAGATTTTGAAATTGATAACATTTTTTAGCCTTAACTCTAAAACGAACAGTGAAAGAGACTTTATTGTTGATTTTTGCTGGGTAAATAAACCAGGAGTGAGCAAATTATGTTTTTACTGTCAGTGTATAGTATCAGTTCATTATCCCATGATCTGGTTTACTAAAATTGATTGGGATATTGCTTAATGTGTAGCGATGCTTTCAAAAGCCAAATATAGTAATGTACTTTCATATTACTGTCAAGGCCTTATATTGTTATATTAGTCTGTGCAGCCTCAACACCACACTTTATAGAGTACCCTGCTGTGTTCATATACTGTATTACTGTATTCGTCAACTTTTGCTCACCTTGATCCTCCTCCCCACAGACGCAGTCACTGATAAGAATGTATCCTGGGCTGAGCTCTTCCTGTCGGTCACACTGGCAGAAAGACTCCCCTATCACTGGCACCGTGCAGGGCAAGGCCACCACCTCGGTGACAGTCTGGGAACTCGCCAGGTGATCCACGTCAGACTCCAAATCGCTGATCTGGTTGACACACACAGTACAAACGGCATCTTGTAAGTCCATAGACATGGCCATGGTCCAGAGATGTTGGCTCAGTAGCAAGGACAGGAATTAGATCCAGGATTATATTTGACGTTTTATCAATTGCCCTGTCTGCTGTGATGCCCTTGTAAAGACCTATAGAAACCTTACAGGCAAGAAAGAGCAAATTAAAGAGCAAACTAAAAGAATAACACGTCGCTAAGTCTCGACTGGAAAATGATAATCTTGCAGTGTCGCACACTGCAATTCAAAGGGCTAAATGAGAGCCATCACCCATATCCCATGTTTCAAAACCTTTTCACTAAAAGCTGTTCATGGTTCCTATTGGTGAGAGAAGTCATGTGTGCCAGTAAGTAAAATTAGACCCCTTCCAAAAATACTGGAGACCTGACCATGTCTTTACACACAGCCATTTCAGACAGGGAAGAGTCCCAGTGGAAAACTACTGGTACTCAGGTAGAAATATGATCTTTCATATCATGACTCTCTTTGATTTTCTCCTCTTTTCTGCGGAAAAAAATGCTGGATATAGCTGTTTCATATCACCGAACATCAAGCAAATGATGCTTGTAAGTGTATCGTTCTCCTCTTATACCAAATATGCATTATATCTGAATTCCCCAGAACACCACCTCCTTCTAAATCCCTACTTTTCTCCACTTCTCTATTCGTGTTTGACCTACTTTCATCTTTTGTTCTGGCCTAAAAACCCCAGTGTCTCACCTGTGTTGTTGTCTGGCCTTCCCACTGCTCTCTGTCCAATGTCTGGATCACTTCCATGGCATCTGTCTCCTGCCGTATTTCGCTCCAGGCCAAATGCCGAGTCCGGCCATTTCTGCCTCTTCTCAGCATGGCAGCTCTGTGGACAGCAGATCCAACACCTTATGACCAGCTGTTATCTGTACAGTGGGCCATGTACTTTTTAAGTAAGGTCAGTGTTAAACTCCCTGTTCACTACTTCTTTATTCTTTGATTGGTTTGTTGAGCTCAGATTAATTTTTGACACATTAACAAGCATAACTGATTCCACATTTTCCAAACCTAGCAGGCCATATTCAAGGAAGAGAGACAGAAATAACTTTGTATTTCACACTGAAGAGGGCTTTCTGGGAATTCACATCACACTGATTCAACTGAAAATTGCAAAATTAAATCTCAAACAAATGATATGATGAATGATACAGTTGTTGCATTATTTCATTCATTCAAAGATGAGGTTTGACGAATGAATCCTAGGGTGCAATGTGCACATTTTTCCAACTTGCATAGGAAAGTTACCTCGCATTCTCATAATGTTTCTCAAATGTTTCCGAAACTTGTTGAACAGCTTAAATGAAGTCAGAAAAAATTGCAAATAGGAAACAGTCAACAGTGTGTTTACTTTCCTAATCTGCTCTTACAGTCAATAGGAAGCTGCAAAATATCATTGTAAGGGAAAAATGTCTAGCCTCCCGCAGACTGATCTTTGTGTTGTGGCTTGCCTATTTCTATCTGCCCCATATGCCACAGTTGGCAGCAGGAAGTGTTTCCATCCACTTGTTTAACCTTTAAACCCAACCCTCTGCTTTGCCACTGTGGCAGCACGTTAGCTAGCTTCATTATCACATAGACACAGATAAGGTCATCCAACCTAGTGACCACAATGCATACAGAGCTCAAATCATAGGTTTTCATATACTTGTCTTTACACCTGCCCTAATACTGACTATGACATCTTACTAAATATCTGGCAGTTAAATGAAGGTGGATCAAAAACTCTGTGAGAACGATTAAAACGTCTCATCTTGTATAACTTTTGGAGACGTCTTGTTAAGTTGGTTCCATCATGACACAGAACAATAAACACTTTATCAAGACTGTTTTAATAAAGAGTAAGTAATCTGTGAGAAGGGCATTCTTCATTATGCCTGTATTCAGTTTGTATTTATATAATATGTAGTAACTCAAGCATAAATCTTGTTGGATATTTTTGTAGCTTCACACTCTGTTCTGGCCTTTATGACCCAGAAAACAGGGCAAAAACAAGACACAAAGACAAGTATGCTTGCTTTTAAAAAGAAAACATATTCTAGATTACAAACTATTATTTTGTGCTATATTACAATTGTTATAGATTTATTCTATATTATAATAACCTATAGGTACCTCAACCTGACAGCATTTCTCAGTTAATGCCAGCACTGAACACAGCAGCTGGTGACTGCTTTGCAAGCAGGTGCAGGAGATAAATACCAATAATTTAGATTAGTAAATCTGGAGCTAGTCTCACTTTAATTGGGCCTTACCCCACATACTGTAAATGCATCATCTGGTCAAGCTAGTCAGGACAAATTACAGTATCTTTGTCAGCCAATGTTTTGATGCCTATGATATGAATGCAGTCTGCAGTAGGAGTGTGACATTGATATGAATGAGTTATGTTTAAGACACTAAATTACTGAAAATGTTTCCGTTGTCAAATCAAATCACTGTCTGTCCTGCCCAGTTTCCATTCTAATACAACTGAATCTAATCCTCTATTCACTAGACAAGCCAGTGCAATAAAACTATCTACATTTCTCGTTGTAAGTCATTCTAGACAATATCAGTGGAGTGCCTAAAGTACTGTTTGTATGTTGATGAAATGTTCCACTACCCAAAGTCTATTTTGTTGTTTCTTTAACTTAAAAGCTTAAAAACTTCGTCACCTACAGTGCAGCAGGAATATTTAAATTCCAAAGGCAGTCATGCTCTTACCTTGCAGTAGTCTTCCTGTATACTGTCTTGCAATGGCTCATTTGGAAGCTGGTGTGCCTCTATACCCGACCGAGTGACAGGTGCAGTTTGCACTCTGTCCCACTTCTAGGCGACCTAGACGTAAACATTACTTCTCCACGCCCTCGTCTTGTGCTTATTGGATAGGGCCTGTGTGGAGGAGGGATTTATGTTAATTTACTTAGTTACCTTTACCTAAATGGGGTGACAATATGTAGAATAACTGTGGCCTTTGTTCAAATGATGAGGTGTGTGTTGAGTTTATAACACAGGGAGGGGAATACCCATCATGTACTGAAAAACGTATATAATGTACTTGGTATCTATCGTTCACCAGAACTATTAAATTCAAACATTTAGGTTGTTATCATTTTGTTATGCTGTTGTTAATTATTTTATTGAAATAGGATTCACGAATTTAAAAAATGACTTAATTCAACGTGTATAAAGATTTTGGCATAATCAACTTAAGCAAACAGGATAATGTTAAATGTTCCTATCTGTGTCCATATATGGCAATATATGTATATATATGGAGCCAACTATTTGACAGGTTCAGGTTGTTATTGTCGTTTTTAGGCTAAGACATCTATGCATTTGCCTTAGTAACCCAGCCAGGTTGGTGCAGATTCTGAAAGTTTGTGGTGCACTGGAACACACCATGGTGTGCCCCGGCAGCCTATTGGTGGCGTTGCAAAAGAGGCGGAACTTAGTTGAAACAAATGCTGTGTCATTGGATAGGTGGCGCATGACGATAAACGGAAGTAGTTCATTCCTGTGCTATGTGCGTGTTGTATCCCCGAATCTAAAATATGGAACAAAATAATGGTAAGTCGAATTTATCGTTCAACAAAGGATTTTTAGGAGGCTTCCGTCTTTCTTGTAGTTTGTTTCATTCTTACATAAACCGTGAATGTTCAAGCTAAAAGATGGCAGCTGACGTATTTGTTAATAGCTTGTATACGTTGTTAGCAGAAGCTAACTAGAAATTAGCTTAACTTTTATATATTCAAAACCCTCTAAAATATGTTTGTAAGAAGAGGCAGTTACGTACTGAGTAATCTATTATCCACAAGAAACTTTAACCTACTTACTGTGTGTTGAACTTGTGAACTCGGCTGACGAAATGCGACCCACTAACTGCGACATTTCTCTCTGACCCTTGTTTCAGATAACTTTGAATGGTTCAAATTACCCTCGGTCATAATTTACTGCCATATACAATTTAGAAATAACCCTTACATGCATCTGCTGCGCTCATGCTGAACTAACTTATTTTTCCTCCTTTTCATATGAGACGGGAGCCTGACCCAGGTCCGGCATGTTGTGTTGGTCCTGTCAGGGAAGGGAGGTGTGGGCAAGAGCACCATCACCACAGAGTTAGCTCTGGCTCTCAGGCATGCTGGCAAGAGGGTGAGCTTAAAGAACAACTGTGTGTACATGCAGAAATGTTGCATGTTGCATGTTCACTGGCAATGTGTATTTGATGGTACATATATCGTTCACAGTTTGCAGTCACTGTCATTCCTAGTCTTGTTTCTTTCTGTACACAGTACCTGACTTGTGTTCATACAATGTCCAGAAATACACCCTAACCCTCTATAACCCAGCCTAACGCTAACAACATTAAAAATGTACAAAACAAAACTGTGTTCATCAGGTTGGTATTCTGGACGTTGACCTGTGTGGCCCCAGTATCCCGCGCATGCTGAGTGTGGGCAGGCCTGATGTACACCAGTGTGACTCAGGCTGGGTGCCAGTCTACACTGATGCCCAGAAGAGCCTCGCCCTAATGTCCATCGGTTTCCTACTGGAGGACCCAGATGAAGCAGTGGTGTGGAGGGGGCCCAAAAAAACAGGTGTGCTATTCTCTAGTTGGAAATTACACAACTGGTCCGTGAGACTATTTAGTCGAGGTAACGTGGGCACATCACTTATTGAGAGGGTATATTTCCACATCACCTACTAATAAAATAATAAAAAATCACCACTGTATGTCTAAACACAAACTTATCTTCTCTTGCTCCATATCCGTTCCATCTGTGAATTTCCTTTCCTGCAGCTATGATCAGCCAGTTTGTGTCAGACGTAGCATGGGGGGAGCTGGATGTGCTGCTGGTGGACACGCCACCGGGGACGTCTGATGAGCATTTGGCCGTACTGGAGAACCTTAAAAAACACAGAGTGGATGGAGCCGTTTTGGTCACCACACCGCAGGTACACACTAGACTTATAGACCCAACTGTACATAAAGCACATGGGTGACACAGTAAGGGAGGGTTTACACTGACAAACAAACTCAGAAATTTAGCTTTGGCTGTTTACCTTTTCAGCCGTTTACTATATGTGTTTTAGCATATGGCTGTTGTTAGACTGGACCCTAACCACAGAAACCACTTCAGATCCATGACATTAAGTGAAATTTGCTCTTGCTGGCTTTCTGTTACAGGCAGTATCTACAGGGGATGTGAGGAGAGAGATCACCTTCTGTAAGAAGACAGGAGTACGAATCCTGGGCATTATAGAGAACATGAGTGGCTTTGCTTGTCCACACTGCTCTGTGAGTAAACTTTCATACTATTGTTTGGGAAATTCAGACTTGAAATACCAACACCTGCTAATGAAAGTGTAGTTACAGTAATATGTATCCAGGTGTGACAGGATATAAAGCTAATCTACCAATCAACTGCCTTAATGTCTGTTTTAAATATGTACTTTATTTGATATTGATTAAAAAAAATACAAATTTGTGTCAAGGTTCTATGTGGCCAGACTGTATTGATCTTATTAGGTACTTTCTTTTCAGGAATGCAGTAACATATTCTCAAAGGGTGGTGGTGAAGAATTGGCCAAACTGACTGGATCCGTGTTCCTAGGTGAGATCAATGAGACTGAATTACATGTAATGTTAGCTCACAGCCACAAGGTGTCACAATACACTGCAAATGCACTTCACTCCTCACCCACCATTCATGATTTAGGAGGCATTTTACATCACTGCCATGCTGCCAAAATGGTCGATCCAGATTACAGCAGGTTTAAAATACCTCGATGAATACAATGATACATATTTCATCAATAATTCTTGGTCAAATGAATAGATTGTTTAACAGTTCCCTTATTGGTTATCCGCTTTGTGTGCAGATCAATCTCTTGAGTAATGATGCAACTAATTCAGCTTACCCTGTGGCAGTGAGAAGCCCGCTGTAGCTCACAGTGCTGCATGGCCAGCAAAGGAAACCGCATTGTGTCAGTCGTCTTTTAGACAGGGTTTTACAGTATTTGATAGGTCAGTGCCCCTGAACACCCTATTGATTATCATTAACTAGGTTGCCACTCGAGAGTGTTACTTTAAGACATTAAGGTAGCTGTGAATCATTTCTCAGCAGTAACATATCAGGTGTGATATTGTGAAAAGACCATGAAGCTATGAACTGGATCATGTAAGCACAGTCATCAACATTGTGTCCTCTCCATTTCAGGTTCTGTGCCCTTGGATCCTCTGCTCGGCAGCAGTATAGAGCAGGGCAAAGACTTCATAGAGTCATTTCCCGACAGCGCCACCTTCAGTGCTATCAACAGCATTTCACAGACTCTGCTCGAGAGTCTCCAAACTTGAGCCATGACATTAATTTGCTCACATTTCTGGATTATGTTCACATTTTACCACATAGGCTCTGTGAAAAGTACAATATAATGCAGAACTACTAGTCATTGTGGAAATGTAATGATTTTGATGTTGCATTTTGTCCTGTACAGTTCATAATATAAAACTATTTACTGAATATCTTCTTTTCTATTTTATTTAAAAATCATTGTCTGCCTACAGTATAATACAGGCCTGTATGCAGTTATCCCTCAGTGCTGCAGTTGCAGTTCTTGAGGCATTAACCACAGTGTCACCGCAGAGTCAAACAGGAAGAGATGAATACTGTAAATAAGCAATTTAGCTCATCTTGGTTTTACAGCAGTTTTAGCGACATACTTTCATTATGAATGCGCTGATGAAAAAAAAAGTATCACAGTGAGATATGCAGAACTAAAAACACTAAATTGTGTTTGGAAGCCAGTCAAATCTAAGTTGGAATCTTCTTTAATTCGATTGTGAAAACATTCACATCGACACATCAGGATAACTTCAATACCAGTGGTAATACAGGATTGTAGATTGGCGCTTCAGTAAATGCGTCAGCAGCAGTTCCATTTTCAGAAAAAACACTCCAGATCAAATTAGACCAGTTCTTGAATGAAACTAGGCCAAACTTGCACACTAATCTCAGATTTCTGCTGCATGCTACAAACCATACCCTCAAGTTTTGTTGTGTGATTGAAACTTTTTTTCTTCTTTGGCTGGAACTATACTTGAAAGTAGCTTTTTTGATCTGGATTAAATCTTCTGAAAGTAGCCTGCTCTTCAGTTTCATATCCAACAGCAACAAAACACCGAAACCCATGCAGGATTTTAATGGCTGGAATGTGAAAGAGATGAAGTACAGCCACAGATGGGGGAGGGGGTGAATAAGATGGAGAGGAGATGAATTTTGGAAATTACACTTGTGAGACCCAACATGGGGCACACACACCTTTAATGCAAACAGCAGTACTACAGGAAAAACACTGAAGTTTGAGAATGTTTCCGTAATGATTAGAATACAGCTACACACAAAACTCCCACTCCACCAGCAACATACTAAAGGCAATCTTAATTATTAAACCATGAATTACATCCAGAGGAATTCCAACCACTTATCACAATTAACCCACAGTGCATTAAATCTATCTATATAGATATTTATATGTCTGTATATATATATGTATAATATATCCTGGGGAATTAAAGACTTTTGCTGCATTAAACAGTTCAATGAACAATTTCTTATAAATAAAATCAGTGGAAAAAAATCTGAAGTCCATACACATTTCTCTTTACAAATAGATCCTCAAGATTAATGCAGAAATTGTGTCAACTCCCAGGTCGATATGGGAGGAGAAAAAGCTGTGTGGCCCTTTGGTCAGCTCTCTAAGACCAGAGGCCAAGCTGCCTCAGCTGGCCTCAAGGCCTGAAATAAGTGGAGGGAAAAAAGGAATCTTCATCATACAGTTGTTTTGAAACACACACACGCACACACAAGACAGACAAATCACTACATTGCGCATTTACAAGTTGACTATCAAATTGGGACGACTGTACACATTGTTGAGATAAGACCATATTTATGGAGCCATTTTAATTCATTTTTTCCTCGCCTTCACTTCTTTCATCTTGTGTGGCAGAAATTTTTACAATTTTTTCCCCGTTATACACTTTTTCTCCAGCAGCAACATAAAGGACAGATCTTGTAGTGGAGATGTTTGGATGTTTATTTCGTGGAGAGAATGAGGGCAACGATGAGCCCGTAGAGACCCAAGACCTCAGCAAAAATCAAGATGAGGATCATGCCCACAAAAAGCCTTGGCTGTTGAGCTGTGCCTCTCACGCCTGCGTCGCCCACGATGCCAATTGCGAAGCCTGCTGCCAGCCCACTGAGGCCCACGCTAAGCCCAGCTCCCAGATGAAGGAAACTCCTAAAGACACACAGTCAAGTGTTAGTCAGTGGGGGGGACATCGATTACTCAGTTAGTAACAATTGGGTTAACAATTCGAGCAATTGAGAGAACATTTTAACTAAACATGCCAAAGTCAGAGCACCTTTGATATTTGTGGAAGTGATAAGAGCCTGTAATGCATGAATGGGGCAACTGCTTCTCCATACAAAAGAGCTGTACGGCTGTTAAAATGAGTTTGTCACATCTGTAATCAGTCTGCCGCCTGCAGCTTCATCACTGTGGCTGCTTGTTTAACCATTTCTACCTCAGTAATATTTTAAACTGATCCAACTACAAACCCATGCTCATGTTCATTATGTTAAATTAAATCCCAGTCAAATTTTAAAATAATGACTTATTGTATTTTTATTATGGCCCTGTGCCATATGACTGCATTGGAAGAATGAGCATGGCAAGTGTACTTCCTCAGATAGTCTAAACAGAGTTAACATGGGGACATCCCATGTGCAGTGATGTGATAAGACTGAAATTGTGGTCGTTGAGTTGTTCAGCAACCACCGGTTGTGTTCATTGAGATGAAGAAATGTGTCATCCAGTGGAATAGTTAAATAGTTTATGATTAATGGAGCTGGTGCTGGAGCTGTGGCGCTTCATCAAGGCCATGGAAACACAGATGAAACTTTTAAGTGGGAAAAATGTTGGTTTTGGGGAATGTGTTGACAATATAGCAGCATGGCTTATGTCAAGCCTGTGTCTCAGAATACACAACTTGTCTTTAGATGTGTCTTGAAAATAACCTGAAATGAAATGTAGACAACACAAATGAGTAAAACTATGACTGTGGTCAACTGAACTCACTTGTAGAGGGTGACCTTCTCTGAGATGTTGTTGGCAATCAGCACTGCTACTACCAGACCGTAGATGGCTATGATACCCGCCATGACCACGGGGATGATAGACTTCATGATGAGCTCCGGCCTCATCACAGACATGGCGGCAATCCCTGTACCGCTCTTAGCTGTGCCATAGGCTGCTCCCAAGGCTGGCAGGGAAGCGAGAGAGAGAAGACAAATTTAGTTAAACCAGAAAGCACACTAAACTGCACACAAGGCCGTGCAGGTTACAATTGGTTAAAGAGACCAGAGGGCACAGCTGGATGATGAGGCAGAAGTGAAATAAGAGATTGAGCAACAATACAACTGAGCAATTTCTGTTCCTCTTAAAAATCCAACATGGCTCCACTTGGGGAATTTTGCTCATGTTTAAGTGGAAATACCAGATCACGTTCTTTTCTACTGATGAACATACTACGCAACCAGAAACCAAAAAAAAAAAAAAAAAAAAAAAACAGCTCATGTAATTTCAGAATTGAATCTGGTGCAGGGTTGTAAATCACTCTCTGAATGAAAAGGCCTTGTTAGGCACACTGGGAACTGCTGACATCACAGGAGAGGCAGGATACCATATCTCCAGAGCCAGCATTAGTACAAAACAGATATAGGGGAAGGGACTAGCAGTACTTCAACTGACATCTGCTGTGTGGAGTCTCCAGTCCTCACTAGTCTCTGGTTAGTATCACTGTAATGTGATGGGGAAGAGGGAGAACAAAAAGCTTCATCAGCATGTTGGCTCCGTCAGCCTGTGACGCTGCAGAGAAAGCGTAGTGCTACGTACGTCACACACAAAACCAAGTCTGACGGTAGGAAGAGAGAAAATCAATAACCACCCTGCTCTAATATTAGAAACTATATATACCAAATATAGAACAGCAACCAGCCATCAAGAATGGGTTCTGCACAACAACACAGAATCGGACAGCTTCCAGGTGAGATGAGAGAGAATCTTTAGGGACGTCCAACAAAGCCCGTCAGAGCAGGGCAGAGCGTCAGGAACCACAGACGGCCTGGTTAGATTTCCCCATGTCAGAGGGGTGTGTGTAAACGTGGACATGTCTATTCCCTCATCCACAGCAAAAGCAACATAAAGTGAAAGCTCTGACAACGACCACAGCATAGCATCTAATATATTGGTCTGTACATGCCAGTAATTCCACTATACAGCAGTATTAAATCACATATTTATGTAAATTTATACTGGAGCAGTTGGAGTTGTTTCCCTTTTTCAGATTTGCAGATGGTGTTTTGATGCTAAATATAGCCTTTGAACTCTCTAGGTTCTCTTTTGCATTAACCAAAAAAAAAAAAAAAAAAAAAAAAAAAAAAGGTCAAATCTAGTTGTTACTGTGATTTGTGAGTTGATGTCAAAACGGGCTGTTTGCCCAAAACTCTTATAAGCAATAGACCAAAAAAAAAAAAAAAAAAAAAAAATGTGCAGAGCTGTATCCCTCCATTTATGTGCTGATCTCATCATAGCATTGGTGGATAAAGAAGGACCTTGCAGTATAGTTTTCTTGGCTCCTCATAGGCAACATACTTATGATAATTAAATCTGAAAAGTCTCTTGCAATATCATCTTGGAAGACAGCCTTGTGCATATAGCCTGAAGTACCCTGCCCTGTGTTTTGTCATGTCTTGGGACAATGTGTTGAACAAGCCTGAAGATAGCTCTGGTTAATTCAAGTCTAGCTAGGAGGCTTTATGGCAAATCAATCTAGAGGCAGAAAAGGAAGATGATTCAGGCCAATCTTTAAATGTGCACATGGTAGCCAGCCCCATCCCCAACTACTTACACTGATTTATCACCAGACTGATGCCATCAGTACAAGGTTAAATCACTCCTGCCCATCTCTGAGTATAACTGGGCGTTGTTTTCGCAAGCCTGACAATCACAAAACAAATTGTCTCAACTTCCTGTCTTATTGGAAGTGTCAACCTCTTTGCTAGACGTGATGCCCTTTATGCTGCATCACATCTAGAAGGACACACAAGCTACCCAAGCAGTTCAATATAAAAACTGACCAAGATGGCAGATCCAAAAACAAACCCTCTAATTTAGCTACACAAAAAAAAAATTACTTTGGAAACACCTAAGCCTTCCTCTGAACAGCTGTTTCTTTTAACCATCCAGCCATCCATTCGTAATAAGTCACCATGAGTAACATTATCCTCTGACTCTGTTTTTTTCTTCGTACGCTTGGACTCACCGAGGTGTGACAGGGGAGGGTTGACAGAGAAACACTGGTATCCTCAAACACTGTCATTCTGTCCTGACGATTAAAGGTTTGATGCTGTGGCAGGGTGGCTTCTGCAGTGGTGGAGGGACAACCTCTGGGTTTTAATCCTAATCGCCTCAGCTTAGGTAAAGAGCTTTTCTTTTTTCCTCCCTGCAGAATATTTGATGTATGGGATGCCCTTGTGACGCCTTGTGATGTCAGAGCAGGTGCCTCCAGCTAGGGATGATCTTGCATGCAAAATGCCTACGCAACAGACAAGAGGTTGATCTGCCCTTTAATAGAGGGTGAATGGGGAAGCACTGGTTTTAAGGAACAAATGACAAAATCGGGAAGCTTGTAGAGGGAACACCATTTTCCAGTCTTACAAAAGCACATTGGCTGGATGATGTGTACAGATATGAGGCTGCAAAAAAAAATTTATGAGACATGCTGACCAATCTATTGCAACCATATTGCAAGCTGAGGGATCATGTATGCTGCCATCACCAACTACACCTCTTAACTAAAGAGGTAAGAGAAAGAAAAGGAAATGTGAATGTGAATTAAAAGGTCAAGTAACTGAAAGCATTAATGAATGACGACTATTCAGAAAAATAACTTCTTTGGTGATAAGACTGCTTATATATGCCAACAATGCCTGTACTGGAAGTTGGACAAGCACACTGCAGTGAAAACACGTCTAAAATTGTGGTCAACACCACAACAAGTATCAGTCAAGTCAATTACCCAGAAAATAAGTCTCCTCTATATTTTAACTGTTCTGGCAGAGAGAAGAGAAAATGTGGGCCATTAGGAAAGATATTACTGAAAGGAGTGGGGAATCAGAAGCAGCGCAGCACAGCTATCATGGGAGTGGTGGTACCTTGTGAGTGTCACCTGTTCTGAGCCAGGCATCACTAAAGACAGCCCTCAAAACTGTCACCAGATTACTTTAACAATGTAACATCACCTGACACCAGAAGATCAAAGCAATTTTACAACCTGATCCAGATGCCTGGCCAATTACTTTGAAATGAAATATTTGTTGTTGTTTTGTCATGATCAGAACAAGAAATTTGAAGCCATCCATTTAGGTGACAACTTGTGATGTGAATTTGTCAATTTCAATATTCTACAGACTGGATGTTGGATCAATGCCCCAAAACATGACAGATTGATGAATGATGACAATCTCTAATTACAGCCATAGTCCTTCAGCTTGTGTAGACAACAGTGACTGACATTAAAAAGGAACACAAGCTACAATTTCCTGTCAGTGACTCCACAACACACCAAGATCCTTCAAGCTGAAGCCTGAATCATCAAGTGTCCCCATCCATACCACCACTTCCACATCCCTTCTTTGTGCCGACATGATCCCTTCCCTACTAGCTAATTCCCCAGCTGTCACTCCTTCGCCTCCACAGACTAGTACTACTGCTAGCCTCAGGGGACGCCACCACCACCACGATTCCCTTGCCTATCACTACACATTAAACCTGAGCTATGACACGCAAAGGGTTGGCTTTGGCATCCAACTGCTTCTCATTTCCAGGTAAGGATGGACAGTATTAAATCATATAGTTGTATAATGGGACATTTTTCTATCATAAATTGTGATTCCTTGTTGTGATGACTAAGGTAATACCTCAAAACAGCAGTTACTAGATCAGATTTCTCCCAGAAATTACTCAAATACTTGAAATCTCCAGCTCAAAATTATTTCTGATATTTCTCATTACTAAGCAGTTCAATGTAATTTGTTAAAAGACACGCTTAAACATTCCTTTCACTTGACTATTACATAGGTATGTGGATGTATGAATTTCTGACAATGCAAAAAGGTAGGGACATAATCCAAGATTACATTATGTCAGAAAAAGCTCTTTGTAATTAGATTTCAAGGTCTTACACTATAGCAATTCACTGAAGGTGTCCATTAATGAAAACATGAGCCAGTCCCGCCAAAAGGCCTCTAGCTACAGAGGTCAAGCCCTCTGTAACATGGTCAATTAGTAGCTTGTTGATTTCACACTGGAGCTGCACCCATCCCACCAGACGATCACATGTAGGCCTTCACTGTGCTGCAGTTGCAGACTATTGAAAAATTATGTAGTTCTTACCTTGCATTAAGGAAAGACAAATAATAAACTACAGAAGGATCCATAAAACAAGTATGGCCAATTATAAAACAAGCCAGTTTCAAAGTTCACTTTCTGTGCCACTTCTCATTTAAGATCCAAAAACCCTTGTATCACCACTGGTGTTAAACCCTTTACCTTCTGTAAAATTAACCATATTTTCTTAGAACAGAGTCAAAACTTGCTATCTTTTGCATTTACATTAATATTGTTCAAGATCAGTAGCCAGATGGCAATTTCAAGTCAGACGTCTCATCATGTGATGATCATGTGACCTTGTGTCATTCCTTTGAGCAATAAGGAAGTTAACCAGCTGATCCTGGTTTCCAATGGTCACTTACGGTGTAAAAAGAAAGCTATTTCCGTCATAAAATTTATAAAATTAATTTGGAAGTCACATCACCGATTTGACAGATGGCACATTGTTGCAGAATAGCAAACAATTTACGAAGAAATAAGTCAATTCAATTATTAAATGTTACTGGTTAATCATTTCTAAAATAAAGCTACACTAAATAATTTCGTATCAATCTTGTCACCCACTGCTTTAAACACCCATAATCTCTGCATGCAGCCGTGTGGCATCTTGCAGAAAAAGGTGGGAATCATCCCATCTTATCTCCTGTTAAGTACAGCAAGCTAGCAAGCAGCTAACTGTGTGGAGGATAATGGAATACTATTGGGCACTGTATGACTTTAAACTGTCAAACAATACGCACTTCTTAAATGATATGGTCAAATTTTCTGATCACTTCGCGTGAGATACCGTTTTGTCATTTCCATTCAGATAAAGCTCTGAGCCTTCATAACCGAGCTAAGCTAACGTCGAAGCTAACTTATGTAGTCGTCATCAGCTAGCTAGCTACCTAGTCTTGGCGAGTCTTTGCTGTCTGCCGTTGAGGCAGACAGGACAGCAGCTATGATGATATTAACCGACCATTGTTAATTAAACATTGGCATATTACTAATAAACTGCTGTCACTGGCTTCACCAGCTAAGTCTGAATAAATTACAGCTCAATATTAGCATTGCGACGTTAACCTTAGCAGTGCTAGCAGATGGCTTTCAGTTTCAAGGGACGCACCAATGGTTGACAGTTCAAAGCACCCTGTTGAGAATAATATAAATGCAAAAGAGGTTAGCAGCAAATGCACACAGCGACATTTTGAAACTAACAAACAGTTTCAACATGTAAGGCCATCAATCGTTTGATAATTACCGCTGAACACCATAGCCGCAGAGGCACCCATCACTGCGAAGAACGGAGAGTATTCGGGGCTTTCGGCCGACATTCTTCCTCACACAGTATAAAAATAAACTAAATATACAAAATTAATCAGCAATGACGGATCAAAAATCGCACTTCGCGAAACCTATCGAAGGCCACAGTCTTGAAATGCGAAACTGAGTACACCAGGAACAGTCTGACCACCTAACTAGCAATGTAAACGGGATAGTCACGACTCTTCTGATAAATACCCGGCGCAGCAGCACAAAATGGCGAAGCGGAAAATATCACCTGACTGGTCGTACGGATAAAACCTATCATCGACTGGGTGTGTGTGTGTGTAGGGGGACGCACTAAAACAAAGTTCGTTAATGATATACTATGCCACGCAACACATCTACGAAACAAAAATGGTGGAATTTAAATGATAAATGACTTACTCTGTACAGAGAAAGTGCTTTTTATTTTTGTTTATTTTTATTTTTTTTGAAGGTCACCCCTATCGGCCATCACTTTGGTGTGCCCCGCTGCAGGCTTTCCCTTTGATAGCTACGCATTCACCCTTCAGAGGCAGGAGGATGAAATGATGGGGATAAGCAGGAGGGTGTGGAGACAGTGCTAATCTAAAGAAAAATTGTGTTTGTGTTATTTTAGCTACCAAGAAAAGAAAACCAAGACAATACACTATTTCTTTAAGATGTCCACATACATTATATTAAAATTCAGACTACATGTAATCTGAATGTCATACTCCAAGAAAACCCCACAGCTGATTAAAGTGACCTCCTCAAATAATGTTGCATATTATTCTCAAACACATTTCTACATTTTGCACTAGGACTCTACCATGCAGCAGAGGGTGATTTACATTCAGCTGTGATATCTAGCAGTGTGGAGCGTGACAGTGAGAGAATTTGAGGCTGAGTGTATATGGTTGAGTGTGTATGTGGTGGGGGTAGGGAACCAAGAATCCCCCATTCCACTGTACAGCTCCCAGCAAGTGCGCAGGGTCAGAGATCCAGAAAGAGGAGGGGGTCGAGAGAGCCAGCACACCATGGGAGGGAAGAAGTGCATGTGTGAGTCAGAAGAGAGAGAGCCTGTGCAGTCCCCATGCCTCCTCCTCCTCTTCCTCCTCCATCTATCCCTCCATCCTGCTCTCTCTGCATTGCCTAGTCTAGTCAGCACCAGAGAAGGACCCCTCCCCCCGTATGACTGTAAAGCCTCTTGACTCATGATGCAATTTCTATACCAACATCTCAGGCCTCCTTCCTTTAAAACACTTTACTCGTCCAACATCTTGCTCTGGCTGCCAAATGCACGATTGCATATTGCAACAAGAATAGATCATTTTGATGCAGACTGTGCATGTGTGAGTGTGTGTGTGTGCGTGCGTGCACTGATGCATTGATAACAAAAAGGTCACAAATGAACTGAGATGATTTCACTTCATTTTCTCTTTCTCTTCTGAGTGAACACATATTGATCCAGGACTCTTTTAGGAGGATATGGATGTAGCCTTTTCTGATGATGTTGGATAATGATGTTCCTATCTGGGATATATGCTCGGCAGACATATGCAACCAGCTCCTTTTTACAACATGCAGTAATATGATAGCCTATGTGCCTTCACATTGTTGTTTCCTGTTTGTTTTGGGTGGATGGATACAATGATTAAGTGGATGCTCTTGCACTTGAGTGGCTTTAATCAGTGAGTTGTGGGAACAAGTTGAGAACAAGCCATATTCTGATGGCTGGTCTTTAAGGAGCATGATTTAATCAATATACTACTGAAGATGCACTATAAAGCAGCCATTGTTAATGAACAGTATAATGTAAATCCAGACAAACAGTATATCATAGTTATCTACATAAGTGATCAACATCTAGCTCTTAATCTTTCAGCGGTTCTGCTACTGTGGTATATGATCTGACCAGGATACAGTTCTACAGAGAGCTCCACTCTGACCAGAGCTAAATTAAGGAAGTCACTGAGCTAAGCTACTCTCAGATTTGGTATTTTTCCCTTAAGGTCTGATTTCAGCATGTAACCAAAAACATAACTCCATCTTTCATTCTTACAGCATTGATAAACTTATATTAGTCAATATAAAATATTAAAAAAGGCTTAAAGTCATTAAAAAGGCTTATGATGTGGAAATGGAAAAGCTTGAATCCTATATTAATAATACAAATTTGCTTGGCAATAGCCTGAAAAAAAACAATGACAATTATCAGTCATTCAGAAGGACATATATACGATCCATAAGGCTGATTTGTGAAGTGTATTCAGTAACACTGGATAGGTACCGGAAATAGAGACCCCTCTGTGTCTCAATAACCTCGGAGAAATATTCAGTCTGTGAATCAAAACAATATTTGTCTTAGTCTACATCTTAATCAGCCCCTTTTTGTCTGAGGGGCGGGGGCTGGTCAAGGAGAGACCCATCTCAGTGTAGGGTTAAACACTTAAGCATCTTACTCCTTGAGGCTGGAAAGCATGGTTTTCAGGAGATACGCCAGACCAACACCCAAACGAGCAGCTAAATATAGACGTGCATGTGCGATTAGCAGAGTGTGAATCCTGAATGAACGGCACAGCCTTGGCAAGACGGAGTCAATGCCACTTACTGTAAAGAAGGAATTACTCCACCACTTTGCTGCCTAAGGTACATTTCTTCAGATGCATTAGGGCTGAGCCACACCCACTGCAAATGAATTGGCTTTACATTTTATAGAGCTTTAATGTATTGACATTGATTGACATGGAATTCACTTTGACTGACATGTTGAGCAACACAGCAAACCAAATAGTCAGAGGATATCAGTTTTAACTGTCAGTTACCAAATAGTGTTATCACTTTAATGACTTTAATTAACTGAAGTCTGTAATACAGCTGGCTATTAGAAGTAGACGTCTTTTAAAGATATATTTGTAAGTATATCTGACTCATTTCTGCTACATATTTTCCAGTCATGCAGCTCACTGTCAGCTTCCACAAAGTAGAGACATCCAAACAAAAATAGTCAGTGTCTATTCAAGAAGTGTGTATGAGTAATTTAGTAGTCACCTTGTGTTTTTAACCCAGACCTACTTGCTGGGGATATGACATTAGTGACATTATCATTTTATGTATCTTCTCTGACTGATGTTAAATGTAAACTGTTTGAATGTTTTTAGTCCTAGAGAGGTGCACAGAAGGCTGGAAATCATGACATGCATGACATCATTTTTACTATACCAATAAAAATAAAATAGTAATTTCTTTGTGATGTAAAATGACCAATCATTTTGAGAAAAAAAACAAACAAACATACCAGCTGTAACTACTCGGAGAAGATGGGGATAAGGGGATAGATTCATGGTCAGCTGACTTAAAAAGGCATCTGGCACACCTCTGCAACAGTCTGAAGAAATGTAGCCCGCTCTTTGCAGGGACAGAGATGTGATAGATGTGGAAGACCAAAAACAGTAAGACAATAAAACAGAGACAGAGTCACTCTACTGAAAGCATATTGCTGTATTTTCACAGGTAGAATACATTTGTAGTTACTCAGTTGATGTTTCACTGGAGGACATATTTGACCATACAGATACAAATAGGTTATATAACCCCAACAACACTTTGCCAACAGGGCACAATTTTGGACTTCTTTCATTACTATTTTCACAGGAGAAAGGACGGAAGTTACAGGAAAATGGTCAAAAGAAGAGAAGGATGAACAAACTGAATTAATCTCCATTACTTGTAAACCAAAAACACATTTTGAGATTTTGCTTAGAAAAAAAAAAAAAAAAAAAAAAAAAGTTTGTACTGTTATTCACATGAATATTCATTTACTATACAGGAAACACTGTCACTCATTCAAAAGAAAGCTTTGACATATGGTGCAAAATGGCAACACTCAAATTCACCACCGATATTGACAAACATGTACCACATTAATTAATTCAGCAGATCTCCCACATATGTACAATAAATCAAAAAATGTGGGGAAGTGCAACAGGACTTGGCCAAACATCTAGCTAACCTGGTACAACTGTAATACATCTTAGCGCTGTTCTTTCAACATTTAAAAACACTTATCACCAAGAAGACTTGACTTCACACAATTCATCGTAAACCTGGTAAATGATAGATTTTTAAGGAATGCAGAGATAGCTGTACAGTAAATTTGGCAGAGTGAGCTAAACCAGAAAACAAAGTACTGAATTTACATTCAGAAATTTAAATATTGTAGCTCAGCATGAACATGAATACATCACAGCTGACATAAAGAAAAAAAAAAAAAAACAAAAAAACACTCTTTCGATGAATCTTGTGTCGGCTTTATCTAGAATTGATCCTGAACATTTCCTTCATTTGACCACATACTTCAACACAATTAGTACACCATAATACAAATCTGAAAATACAAAAATAAACGAAAAACAAACAAAAATATGACATTTTTGTTCATATGTTGAAATTTGGATTGCAGTAATAAATAAAAAATAGTTAATCATATATGAATTTGTAGGACGGATGTAGTTCTGTTTGCATATCTGTGTTTTCCACATCAAACACTTTGCTGGACTTTTTGATCATGACTTTCTGCTTTAATATGTTTAAGTGTTAAAATTTGTGTTCATCAATATGCACCTATGTGTCCATGACTGTATGATGTGTTGAGCTACATGGATGTGTAGTGTGTGTTCATGTGTACAGCATTACGAGGCCATGGTATCCTGGAAACCCCATACTTCCAGCAGTGAAACCTGGAAGCTCTCTGCACACAGGGGCGGGTTGTCAAAGGTGGTGCACCTGCCAGTGCGACCATGATTCAGTTCTGAGTCAATGTAAAGAGCGTTACCTTCACCTCCCCCTGATCAAACACAAGAGCACAGGGTTTGTATAAATTATAAGCAACTGAGAACAAACACTGCATTTCTGCAAATGATTCTTACTTATCATCACAATCATGTTCATTTTTACATCAACACTGAAGTGTTAAATGTAGTGGAAGGCTAATGATAAAATCCCACATTTGATGAGTTTTCATGTTTTAGCTGATCCCTCATCACATCCACACTACACTCTGCTAGTTAAGTGTGGCAAAAAGGAAGAAAGAGAGAAAGAGAGAGAGAGAAAAAAAAAAAAAAAAAAAAAAAAACTACCCAAAAAAGGGACCAGAAATGCGAAATACACAACAATAACATCTTGTAATAATTCACTCACCCACTATGATGGAGTCAAAGTTTCCAGCCATGAACATGGAAGTATTCTTGGAGTTAAGGTTGAAGTGGCGAGCGGAGAGGAAGGGCGACAGATCTCCAGCAGATTTCTCTGGCTGCTGTAAACTATTGCTGTCTGAGTTCTGGCCCTCAGAGGAGGCAGTGTCCTCTTGACCCTGGGTCTTGATGGAGGAGGCTAGCTCAGGGTGGCGGATCACCACCCACTCATAGCGCTCCATCTCTGGCTTAAGCTAACAAGGGAAAACAAATCAGTGACTGCTAATGTGAGGCAGTTATCATCAATTAGACACCGGGGCATTACACATTAAATAAAATAGTATTGCAAATGTATTCACATAAAAAGGCATTCTTATTCTTATTTTCTTAACAGTATATAGGTGACAAGATATGCATCTTAAATTCAAACCAATTCCTAACATAAACAGACAGAGATGCTTCATGTGAGGACCTGGCTACTTAATGCAAAGTGTATATGCCATTAATTCCCTCCTCTCCCTCTCCAACCCTCGGCTGCACATCTGATAGACATCAGTCCCTGTTGGCTCGTCTCTTATGTGTGTCAGGTGTGGTGTCAGATGAGGGCCTGGTCAGATACGACTGGATCAAGTTACAGGAGTTTCCAATCTGTGTGTGTTTAAGTATTAGTGTGTGAGATGACGGTGTTTTCTGCTGTGCCGGCTCAGACAGTTCACAGCTGTGCATCAACACAGAAAGCCAATTAAATAATTCATACAGAAGGCATTAGAGACCCAGTCTGCTTCGCTATTTCTAGCCCAGGTGTTATTAAAGCTAAAGCTCAATGCTGCAACATCACAAGCAAATTAAACATGATCTGTGGTTGTTTTTTGCTGATGAAGACAAAGCAATGTCTGTATGGAGAATTGTGACCTACAAGGCAGGCTGTTCAAATGGGATCCCTGGACACCAAATCGAGGCCAGGGACACTGACATTAAGAACATATGAAACCCCAGTGGATGGTACCATCTGGTGGTTATAGTGAGGTACTACTCAATAAAAAAAAAAAATCCTTTCATTTGATTCCTAAAAAGCACGCAAAAAAACCCCCAAAAAAAACAGAAAGAGACATTTCTTGCTGACAAGACGCTTGTAAGTGCAGAAACTAATATAAACTCACCCTGAAGACGAAGCACTCCCCTGTGCCAAAAAAACTTAATTTGTTGCCTCCTCTCTTCCGCTCCTCCCAATCTGTGGACAGGAAGGCTCCACATACCTGAAGGAAAAAAGAATCTGTTTAATTTGCTCATATGCATTAGTTTTATCCTCTAAAGTACTTCATACTTGTGGAAGATTGATATTTGTAAACCTGTATAATAGTGACCTTTGACACCAATTCACAAGAATAAAAACCTGAGTGTATTTTGAAAAGCAGAAAGCTAAGCTAAGCTGAGGAGCTTTCTCATTATTGAAAGAAAAAACTCAGTAAATAAAACCAGGTGCAAGTACACAAGTTTTTCTAGGGTGGCTTTTTGCAACATGACTGCAGTCAACAAGAACCATTTACTAACATTTACTGATAAACACAAGTGTCTAAAACAGGAAGTTAGACGGGAACTGTCTATCAGAGTGATACCAGTACTGATTTGTTTTGACTGCAGTTCAGTCCACTTTGTACCTTAAATATCCAAGGCTGAGGACATACATACACACCCGTCAGACCTCCTATTTAACACTATATCTAGCTATGTATTTAGCTAGATATGGCTCACTGATCTGAGCTGCATCATTTTAAACAAAAATATCTGTTATGACATCAGGGTGTTGGTGTCCCATGTGTTTTTATTCATAATAATGTGCATCCTTAATTCACTCGGACAAGAGCTTCATAAACTTCAGTTGGACATGTAAAAATAACTGGGAGAATCATGACAGAGTTTGCTGTCTGTCTGTGTGTGTTAGTTATTTACATCGCCATCTGTGGTCCGGATGAGGAGCAGAGTGGGTTCGTAGCCTTCACAATGTGAGTAGAATCTGGAGGAAAATGTGGAAGTTTAATTCATTCCAACTGGCTGAATTAACACCTGAATCTAAAACATAAAACATATCTATTGGATCATTTATTAGCAACAGCCATGTACTGTCAGATTACTAGACACACTAAAGTAAAATGAGACAGTGGCTAAATACAAAACAAGTCTACAACTTTTTTTTTTGCCTTTTTGCTTTGAATTTGTCTTTTGGTTTACAGCTTTGCTTTTGTGTTTACAGTGTACCTGTTCAGGCTGCAACCATGGGTGGAAGTGGTGAAGAGTAGTTGTGGTTGGCACAGGGCAAAGCGCTCAGGTATCCACGACCAGATGTCCCGCATCTCCTTGGCGCTGACAATCTCAGAGGAGAAGGTGTCAGGGTTCAGTGCCAGCTGCACGTTGCGCCTGGGGACATCCCAAACATACAGACACAGGCAGAGACGAGAGGTACAGAATGAGAGGCAGATCACACAGTTGTTGATGCATAAACCTTTAAAAAATTATGTATTTTTTTATTCTAGTGGCACTGCCCACTCATTTGATATATTACCAGGGTGTAGGAAAACCAAAGTTCAATTTTAACACCACATGTAATACCATATCTATTCTGAGTGTAAATGACAAAATTAGAAAGAGATCTGCAGAGTAGCATAGAGAGGAGAACCCACCTAGAACTGTAAAAGAACCAATGTAGTGAACACAGGAGTGGAGTGCAGATGAGACAGAAGATGGTGGATGGAAAAGTGTGGCACAAACCAGACAAAAAGGAAACAAGAAGATGGTGTGAGACAAGGATGCAAGAGCAACTTAAACCAATCCCCAGAGCATGCCAGAGTGAAAAGCTTAAAAGAACACAACATTATTGCCAATGAAGCAAAGGAAATTGCTTAAACATTTCATCTATTGTAACCTTTTACTTTTGCTGTGGTGTATATTTGTAATAAACTGTATAAAATAAGTCTGGTCCTGTACTATTTTAACATTGCATTCCTCTCATTCTGTGCATACCACAGTGATTTAATTCCCAGTCCAGGAACTGTGTCTTACATTTAATCAAGTTCAAGAATGTCCATTTCATCAGAGTGATAGATATATGGGCCGATAAACTAAATTTCATTTTGAATCATAAGGGTACTTTTACGATGTCTATAATTCTTACATGTGTAAGTGAGCATAACACAGTACACAAGTAATTGATTCAATGTCCTCACTGATGCCAGATATGTAATAGCATTGCCAAGAAAGCCCACTAGATGCTTCCTGGTTTCTAAAGAAAATTCAACAAAAGACGGTCACAATTCACCACATAAAAAAATCATATTATTGACTGTACCGCTTCTGTTTGACAGTGATTCCCTTCTGCTGCAAGGACTTTTCATTTGTGAGCTGCAGCAGAGTGATCTCCTTACGGCTAAACAGACGGATGGAAAAGGCCTTCTCTAGCAGCTTGTCGGGTGTGACGGTGGAGGCAATGCCCTTGATGAAAGCCTGAATGTCTGCCCTGACTTTGCCAGAATCCTGTTGCTGCTGGTTGCCCTGGCCCCCCTGTGCTCCTGCTTTATGCTTGCGATAGAACTTGAGCAAGGCTATAGCCACACGGTAGAGAATCTTGTAGCCCTCCACTAGGTAGACATCCAGGACCCTGACCACATGGCTGAAAGGCAGGTCACCAAGCACCCAGCGTTGCCAGTCTGAGTAGACTTCTAGCACATCCTGGGCTGTGGCTACAATCAATTTGTGGGCAGCTGTGCAGTACTTGTTGGCCAGGTCACCAAAAGTCATGCAGCCAGACTCATAGGCCAGGAAAGTCTGGTCCAGCAGTCGCTTGCCTGGCTCGTTGCAGGCCAGCATTCGGCTGACGTGCTCAAAACACTGAGCTTCATCTGTGCTGAAGTGCAGGAGCAAAGAAGTAACAGCCGGAAGTGATGGACAGTGGGAGATATCTGGAAACTGTCCAGCCAGGCAGTTGATAATCTGGTGGGCTGAGGCTACCGCCTCTGCCTTCAGACAGTACCGCGGCACAGGACTTCCATCCACAAACTCTGGCAGTGGGATGTGAGAGGAGGGCTTCTTAGTGGCTGCATTTCCCATAATGTCACGATATACTTCTGCATCTGGTGTAACTGTACGACAGGGAATGGCTTTGATGAGCTGCTGGTAGACTTGTGCCCGTAGTTTGTGGTTTTTGGCCCAGTAACCCTGCCGAGCCATCTGTTTGAACTCTTTCAGGTCTTTACAGTCAACCTTGGTGGGCCCGCTGCTCTTGGCCAGATCCCCCATCTGGTTCCAGTCCACAAAGCTGCCATAGTCTTCTTCGGCCATGGTGCTGGAAACTTGTTGGACTGCCTGAGTGGGAAGAGAGGAGGGACGCTGTGGGGTTTTTACAAACCGTCTGTCCCCGACACAGCAGATAACTGGCCTATTGTTCTTAACTGCCCATACTGGTTACTGAAAAACATAAAGGACAAAACCACAAAATGAGTGTGCATCATCAGGAAGATAAAAGAAAATCATTGCAAAATTGTTTCTGAGTCATATTAAAATCATTTGTCAGCAGCACCAGAGCATAATCAAACTTCCACTTTCTACCAGTTCCATATTTTCATACTAATACATAGTTGGCTATTTGCTAAACTAAGTATATCAACAGTTTAAGGATAATGCAAAGACTTGGGAAGACATTTTTTATACATTCATTTCCATAAGTATTGATTTGCACAGAAGTTGAGACAAATGCATTACAGAATGGCCACAGTAAATCTGTACTGTAAAACAACATGAGCTAATTTCACTAATCAGATTTATGCTGTGGTAAATATCTTTACAGGAGAAAGAAGCATGTACATCATGAATCTGATACATCTGATCACAAACCCATTGCTTGAATGGAATGCAAAGCTATCTTAGTGATGCCATATGACAGCCATAAAAAGACTCAATGGCCTCTGATGTACAAATATATGTCGGACAGATTTAATTGGCCAAGCAAAGCGTGACATTAAAACTGTTGAACTGGAAGCTCTAGTAGTGAGGGAAATAATTACTTTTTTGGAATTAGAACTGTAAAGGTTAACTAGCAGTATAATTTAAAACCCAGCTACCAGCACATCATTTCCTGCAAATGCTGACCACAAGATACATGGGGAGGCATGTCCAAAGATCATTTGCAATATACTGAGAATTGTTGTTGCACAATCATCAAATCATGTCACACTGTGTTTCAGCAAGTCACAAGGAGATGCATGTCCAAAGTTCACTTGAAATATACTGAAAATGACATTCATAAAAGGCTCAGATCATGTAACACTGCCTTCCAACAAGTCACATGGAAGACTGCATGTAAAACTGGAAGCATTTATGGTGGCACTATAGGGAGATTAACCATTTTACTTAAAGTGCATGTTTACATAAATGTTCATTTTACCTGTGACACTGCATGTAACTGACCAAAGGCAGACTTGAATTCAGACCCAACAAAAGAAATCTATCTGGCCAAAGACCACCTTGAAATGTCAGAATATTAAATAAATTCTCCAAATCAGTCAATATAAGTTCTCTGCACAGATGAACAAAAGGTCCACTAAACCAAAGCCATGATACCCACGATCCTCCGATATACTCAAACCATCATGTATACATGGAAATGATTTAGCATTCAGGCTAAAGTAACTTAAAATACTGCTGACCAAGGTGCCAAACCCAACTAACACAGCTGCCATTTAGCTGAACGGGCCAGCCCTTAAACCTTAGTGTGTGATAATTAAAGCTGGGTCCACTTATGACAACTTAACTTTGTATACTCTCAGGAATGCTTAGCAGAGATCTGTGGATCTCTGGTCCTATAGAGATCCACAGATCTCTATGAATAGCCACATCCTAACAGCAGTGCATCCTAGTAGCATCCTACCAACATGGCTCCTCTAATGTTACACTCTAATGTTAGGTACCTGTTTTCTCTTGAAAAGACCTTAGCCTACTTAACTTACATAATGCATGTGTTTAGGTCACCACTACATGCTACTGTCTGAATCGTGGCCCATACAACCAGAGTTCTGTTCATGGTTTTTTTTTTTTTTTTTTTTCTTTGGAGAGGTAAAATCCCAAATTGTCACCCATTCCGGACAGAATCAGACAAGGCCTTTACTAGGTGTTTAACCTTACTGTAGGTATATACTTATCGTCCTCATTCACATGGCTCCTACATATGTCCCTTTTCATAATCACATCCTAATTCTTTTGGGTTGGTCTCAGTGGATATTATTACTGCATTTACCATAACATGACTGAATAATATGATTGCCACTTTGGCCATATTACTGTAAGCTCAACTACAATATATATGAGAATGAGTTCATGCATTTTGTGCAATACCTTTAAAAATCTACAATCGTTTGCTGTAAGTTACTTATTCTAAAATGATTAATCTATTACTGATTACATTTTAACATGTAAAAGTACTGGACGGGAAAGGAAGCTGACTACTAGCCATTAAACTGCATCTCTGCAAAACTGGACAGGGTTGGGTAACGTTACTGTAGGTGAATCAAAGATTGCAATTTTTTCTTGGAGGCTCAGCAGATGCAGATACAAAGACATAAGCACAGACAAAGCTAACGTTACAGTGTCTGCTACCTTGTCGCTCAGTTAACATTACAGTATGTGCGGGTACAGCTGTGTCAACACACACCGAAATGACAGCTTCAAATGCACGCAGAGCTGCCCAAACTGTGCGTTCAGTCGAATAACATATTAACGTCAGCTAGCCAGCTGAGGTGATAGCAGCTAACATGTTAAAGGAAGGCAATGCACACGGGTCACAGAGTCTTTAACATTACCGCCGGAGTAAATCTGATACACCCTTTTCCATTCACACTTGCCAAGTTAGCATTGCTAGCATTAGCTACCAGCAAGCTGTTCCTGCCAGTGCATGTCAGACTCAGCAGCTAACGAAACCTTAACCAGAGCACAAAACTAGCTGCCCGACATAAGATAACACGCAAGACAGACACGAAGCCATGCAAAATATAGAGCAACACCAAAACAACCCGGTAAAAATATTCAGGCTAACGTTGCTGCAGCAGCTAGCATGAATGTTACCAACCACAAATTAATTTTGTCCGCACGCTGTCTTGGGAGTTTGTTGATGTGAAGAGATTTCAGCTTGAATTTGTGGAAAAGCGCTGCATTTCAAACACAATGCCGGCGACAGGAATAAGAATTACCCCTACAGCACAAGACCGAAGACTGGTAAGCAAATGATAAATAACTGTCAACAAATATACGGATAATATTCCTACCTGGAATTGAGATGTCTTGAGACGTGAAGCAGCATTCATATTAAGTTGCCTCGGGCATGCGCAGTGCCTTCAACCCCGGTCACGGTCTGCGTGCTGCTGCTGGAGCTGCAGAGGGGCTCAGGTGGGCTGGTTAAATACACACAGGTTACAACCTCTACTCTGCACGCTCTGGTTAATTCACAAAAGTGGAGGAACTTACTGTCTCTTCGGAAAGCAGTGTCAGTACTTAAAGACAGTCAGTGAAGAAAACCAATTACATTATAGGCTAATACACAAAGTCATGATGTGTTTTACAACATCAGCTACCTATTCAAATGTCCATACTGAATAATTAGGAATAGCACGAGATATTAAAACCACCTAAAGTATTCTAATGTCCTATGGTGCACCAAAGAGTAACACCAAAGAATAAGCAAATATTACCCTATTCCTTTTATGGCTTACTTGTAGAAGTCAGTGACCATGGAGAGGTTGCATGGCAGATCACAGTAGCTTATCTGATCCGCCTTGTTTACTTGCAGACTTGCTCTGTCAAATGAGCGATGGCACTGGGACAAGACAGGAAGATCCATAGCAAAGGGCAACAAACCATGTCTTTGTCCAGTGCTCAAAGCAACAGCCAAAAGTCAACTGCTCAACACATGACAGTTATTACTGATAATTAAATTGCTTTCCAGAACAACTCAGGGTAAAATGTTGTTTGGCCTGGTCTTTTCCTCTTAAATGTGGCTGATGTTTTTAGGTCCTCTTTTAGCATGACCTTCTCTGTGCTGCAGTAGCAGTGAAAAAGCAAAATTAGTGATGTCAGAAATTGTTCAGTTGTGATATCTGAATGTTTAACCGTTTCTCTAAAAAATATTTAATTGTATATAACAGTTTGTCTATTCTTCTACTCTTCTATAATCTCTCTGTAATCCCAAACCAAACCAGCCACTTTTATTACACTTAAGTATCCATCTACTGTAAGGTTGTACACTAACACAGGTTGTATGCAAATGTGTGAGCAGAGGGAGTTTTCCACCCAAAATACTACAAGACAAATCCACGCACATCTCAGCACCTTACATACCTTTAGACAGTATGAATGTTCTGTGTGCTAATGAATGTGTTTTGTTTCATTTGAAGCTGAGTTCCACCCGTGGCGTCCACAACCTATGACTAGTTTACTTTAAACAGCTACTGCTGATCAATTTGGCACAGAAGTGTGTGGGAAAGAAGAGCGCAGCTGTGTCACATGAGGTAGGCAGAGCATCCTAATCCTGTAGGAACACCATATCATTATGATGATTTCATATTTCATTTGTTTTGTGCATGTTAGCATGTATTTGTGTTTGATTGTGATTACGAAAAGAAGAAAAATGAGAAAAGTGGTGGGTGAGTATGAAAGACCGTCAGTGTGTGTTTGTGTGTGTGTATGTCTGTGTGTTTGTGTGTGTGTGTGTGTGTGTGTGTGTGTATGACAGAGAGAGAGAGAGAGCAAGAGAGAGAGAGAGAGAGAGAGAGAGAGAGAGAGAGAGAGAGACAGATGGGTGTAAAGCCAGTAAGCCTTTAGGTCCTAGCTTATGGAGGTTTATGCTCATCAAATCCTTCCGCTCCCACACACTGCATGACATCAGCGTCCAGTTCCCTCCCACTCCACCTGATCTCACACGTATACACACATGCGCACACTTGTGCGCAGATGAACAGAGGCATAGACACAGACTTGTATATATACATATACGTTCCGTACATACACATAAGTAAGACAGTGTGTATTTTATAATAGAAGCAGGGCCTGAAATACAGGGTTCGACCAGTAAGCATCATGTTTGCCTGGCAATTATGTGCCAGCCAGAGCAGCTCCATTCCAGCAAAACACTGATTTTTTGATTCAATGAAGTTTAGGCAATTAAACAGACATCAGTAGCATAGAGAGATTAAAGAACTGGACTGGAGTGAGCTGACTGGGAAAATGCGGGCAGGCAAAGTGAGTGTGCAATGCTATTTTCTGTCAGCAACTGTCTTTGAGCAAGGCACTAAACCTACAACTGTTCCTGGCTATGGCTGCACTGTAGCAGATGGGAATATGTACTGCAAGTACTGTAGGGATGTTCAGATTGCTTTCTCTGAATGTATACAAACGGAAAAAAAGATGAATCCACAAAAAAATGAATGAATTATGATTTTGCTAATCCATTAATCATTTAAGTCAGCTAAAAATCAATAATTTGTGAGAATCAAAGGCCCCTGTCCACAAGTGACAGATGAGCTTATAGCAGGTAGAAAGAGTCCTGCAATGTTCAAAGAATGGTTTGATCAGTGTTGCATGCATTTGACCTGGCATCTTCACTGGAAAGGTTTACCTCTGCTGAGGAGCTGGTGCTGTCAGCCAACCAGGGTTCAATGTTGTGGTTGCTTACTTACCACTGTGGCAAGACACAGTGTGACACACAGACCTCTAAGTCGACAGCCAATTGCGTTCATGGCCTATTTTGAAAGAAATTGGTACATTCTCTCTTTATCTCTGATGGAGCAAGATAATCCTTCCTCAAGTGACATATGTGCCCTGATCTTTCTCTGTCCAGATGGGATGTTGTTAACTAGTTAAGTGGTGTGGAAACTTTTGGTATGCTGTATGTCACGGTGATCTGTAGCCCGGCTAATTACTGTTGCATGTCCGTTCTCATGATCACTATTTTCAGAGGGAAACTTTAAATAGATCACAATACCATTTTTGTTTCCCTCATCTTTTTCTGCAAAAGTATTTCAGTATTACACAGAGTTCATCTCCTCCAGGAATGTATTCAGTTCTGATCTATACTTCCTCATGTGACACACATTACTGTGTGTTGTGCCAATGAAAACAAGAAAATACATTTTTTAAAACATGTTTTAGAGATTCCCACACGAGCGACCCACACGAGTACTGAGAGTTGGATTTTTTCAGTGTTTTGAGAAAACATTTGATTTTCTTTTCTCACGTCCCCACACAGGTTCTGTCCGACAAGAGCACCTTGGCACTATGGTGCAGTCTTCAGGTATCTATGAGACTCTCGTCTGATCTGTGGTGATTTTTGTTTCCAAAAATAGAGTAGGTGATTTTAGTGCCTTGTCATCATGTATGATTTAGTAAATCATTATCATGAGTAATCCGACTGAAAATATGAACTCTTGAGGGTCAGTGAAGCATGTTTGTCCTTAAAAGGTGAGACCTTTAGATAACTCGGCATTGCTTTTTACACTTCATCTATTCATTTGTCACCAAAATGAAACCTCCAAAGAAATAAATGTATTCCTGACTGAATTATCTGGCAATTGTGTTACAACACACTAAGTCAGAATTACAACTTATTCTGTAATTGTTATCTACACAGTTTCCACTGGGTATTTCCTTCAGTCTATTATTATCAGTATCATTGTTACTATCATTAAATTTTTACCATCTTTTGTTTGTATTGTGTATTCAAAGGCAAAGGTTTGCACCATTTGAGCTATTTAAATGAGCTTCCTTCTTCAGTATCAATTCACAGCTAAGGCTTTAGTCTAGCCAGTGAGACTGAAAGAAACTGTGTCACCCAATAGCGTGGTCTCCATTGTATCTGTGAAAGGCCTAAGCAGCACTCTGGGTATTGTTTTCTTTAAAAGGGAGTCAGGTTACCTTGACAACCACAGGATGCCTACCCATAGGCCCTGAGACAGAGAAAAGGCACGGCCAGAGAAGGAGGGAAAGAGATCGAAAAGAGACAAAAAAAGGAGGCAAGATACTCCCCAGCCCCAACTTTATTTTCTCATAGTTTGTGTGTTTTGACAACAGGCCTGATGGTTGCCAGTGGGTTGGGATGGAGACCCAAGGAGGTGAGGATGTGTGTGTTTCTGTGTGTGTGTGTGTGTGTGTGTGTGTGTGTGTGTGTGTGTGTGTGTGTGTGTGTGTGTGTGTGGTAGTCCATGTGCTGGATTGTCTTGTACACCAAACTATTGAACCATCTCTGTATCTGTCTCACACTGATGCAGAACAAGAGTTTGGTGACAGCAGTTTTATTATGTTTATGTTGAGTATTTCCATCAGTCTAATGAACACGTTGAACACCAACACAGAAAGACCACAAGCTGAAAAGGCTTTCATAACCAGTCATGCTGCCAATAGCATTACTATAAAATCTATTTACGCCTAGAGACTTTATTGATGCAATTCATGTGGAAAATGTGACCATTCATCTGCAATTTGAAAAGAAACTACAATGGATCTTTAGTGCTTAAACCCAAATATGGAAGTGGAAAATGTAATTGTGTAAGAATTAGATGTTTTTCTCTGCGCACAACCAAGCTATACATTTATTACTGAGCATGGTTCACTTACTGGTATTTGTACTGTGCTTTTTTTTGACAGTGACATCCAACATCCTGTAAACAGAGGGCCATGCGTGTTGCACTGCGACCACGCAGGTAAGGCTCGGCATCATGAGATCAGTGGCTAATCAGTGAAGAGAAGTAGTAACGATGTATGGTAGAAAGTAACTGATGCACCTCACCTCATCCTTGGCTGGCTCACAGTGTCCATTTTGCTGTAGTCACTTTAACTAGCTGAGAGCAAAAACAAAAAGGCAATTGTTGTTCTCATTTTGACAGCTAATAAGTTCAAGTGTCACCTCACAGTGACTGCTGGGCTTGTTGAGAAAGCACAGTGTAATGTATAATTGATTATATTCATTATCATGTCTGCTTTTTATGTGGAGCTTAATCTCCCCAGCATGTACAACCTGCAGTAGAAATTAAGGCCAACTATCACATAGTAATACGTTTTAATATGACACCCCCCCTCCCCTGTGCAGTTTACAGGGGTGCTGCTTTTCTGTTTATACCCTCAACCAAATACAAGTGATGTTTTGATGAGTGCTCTGACAGCTTTGATGAAATGCAGACTAATAGAATTGAATTGAAATAATGTGCTTGGATGAGAATCTGGAGCTTTATAGTTACTAGGAGAGCCTTGAAACTGTTTGTATATGTACTTGAGATTGGCTACACCATGTTTCTCTGGATGAGGGCTGGTGGGTTTACTGGCCTGATGAAAGTGAGAATGAAGTGATTGCTCTGCACCAGTTAAACCCAAAGCTGGGCTCCCATGTGAGCAATGAGCAGACACATGCTATAATGGCACATCATGCTTCAGATATTCGTTTTGACACACTAGGGTCTCCTCGCTTGAAGTAATGGAACAATTTAGTTGTCCACTTTCTCAGTGCATTCGGTGAAAGGCAGAGTCAGGCTGTAAGTTTTTATTGCATTAGGTCTGCTGTTAAAATCAAATCTATGAAGTTAAAAGGAGATTTAACTGGTTGGGTATGACACAGATTATTAAAAAATACCTTTTATGTCATGTCTGATATGTGGTCAATAAGCATACAAAGAAATATGATAATGACATGGGGTTGTTTGCTCTATTGCATATACTGCTGTGTTTATTAGAAAAATATGATGCAAAAAATCAGGCATGAGCTTCCATTTTCAGGCTCCATTTTATATTGTATACGACCAAGAAAGATCCCTGGGGGTAATTTTGCAGTTGGAAGTTAAACTCCTTTGAGAACACGGAAATTATGATTTGATTAAAACTATATAATGAGTCAGCTGTAACACCTGAAATTGGGAATGTGCTGAAAACTTATTTGCTACCCAGCAGAAAAGTCTAAACCGTTATCTTAAAGTAATCGATAAATAGATGGCTAAAAGTTCAAATAGCTTGCAAATGAAATAAATATATTGTTGAAATAGTTAACAAATAGTGATGGATAAACAGTACAGCTAAAAGTTGAAATATAGGCCTATAATTAAAAGTGATGGATAACAGTTAGTTGGCTAAAGATAAAATAGCTGAAATAGCTAAAAGTCATGGATATTGTTGAAACAATATGCAGTTTAAATGGTTGGCTAAAAGTAATGGAGTAATGATTAAAATGACTTAAAGTAATAGACAGTTGAAACGGATAGCTAAAAGTATAGAGTAAATATTTGACAGTTAGCTAAAACTGATAGATAAAGGGTTGAAATGTTCCACTCCAAGGTGGTAACTAGCACAGATGCCCACTTTTATATAGAAGTGCATTAAATAACATCCATCTTGAAATCAGTTCAAATAAACAGATTTGGGTGGAGTCAGTCAGTGGATACTTCAGTTCATGTGACTGTGGGCTGTGGAGGCACGTCAGACAAAAACACCTCAGAACCACTGATGTGCTGAATGCTGTTTGCTGTAACATTTGAAGAGGTTTCTCTGTGTATTGTGCCCTCTAGTGGTTGCTTGGTGCTCTGTCTGTGCCTGTCAGTGTTCACCCTGCTGCTGCAGAGCCTCTGGGTGCCACTTGAGATTGCCAAGGATGAACCTGCCGGGAGGTCACCTGAGGAACAGGGTAACTCACACACACATGGACATATATGTGGTTTAACTGGGCTGATCTGTGTTTGTTAAAACAAAGGCCTTAACCTTTTTAATAGCATAAATGTAAAAACATCCATGTATTCATACGCCCACATAGCCATGGTATCACGGATTGAGAGTAAAGTGAATCAAATGAAAATATCACAGATAAATGAAATTATAGAACAAAGTCAGATGTAATGAGATGTCATGACATTGAGCACTGACTGGAGAAATGTGGCTTTTTTCATCTGCACATCTGGTGAAGTGTACTGAGTCTTATGAGGGATAAGACCTCATCTGACTGTCTTCCCAATGTTAGGTGAAGCTTTGCTCACAATTCGTGGTGGGTCCTCCCATGTGTCTCACAGTTGTGGGTTTGTGGCCGAGATATACCCATGTTCAATTCAATTGTCTGGCTAAACTGTTTACCTGAGGGAGGGTATTTAAGGGGGCCGAGGACAGGATTGTTTGGGCAAAACCTTTTTCCTGGTTTATAAAGAAGAGACATGTTGTCAACAATCTCCTCCAGAATGTCTTTTTTATGCACCCGATGAAAAAATTTGCATATTCTGGCACTGTGCCTGCAGAGTTTTTGATCAATGAGCCATTCCTAAACATCATCAGGGGCATTTCGGAAATACACTTCAAAAGCTGCATTTAGTGTTTGAAGTAGTTCAGCGGTCTCTGAATAAAAACGTAATTGTATTTTTGATTTAATAATTGAATGGTGTCTGCATTATTTTGATAATAACAGATTATGTTTCCCTCTTCAGTCAGACCCGTTACAAAAAAAAAAAGATAAATGATGCATTTCATTTATATAACTATCTTATGTAAAAAGAATTTACTTCTGAATTATATGAAACTGACAGAACCGTATAAAGGAACCCATTTGTGCATAACATTTATTTCTAAAGTCAGACACAGATTTAACTAAAAAAAGAACAGAACTTTGTCCAGATTTGGACAATCTGGCCACCACTGAAACAGTTTCAAAATATAATTAAAAAAGATGACTTTTTATCTAAACATCCTCGTCCATTCCTCCTCAAATTCTAGGAAAATTGTTTTTAGCAGACAATGTAATCCACCGGTGCTTTTCAGCCACAGACCCACAATTGCTCCGTGCTTTGAGGACCCACCACAGCGTGTATACAAATGGCCCCCAATAGCCACAATGATTGTGTTGAAAAATATACCACATGTGGGATGCTGTTGGTCAGCGCGCACAGTTAATCCGGCTCAAATTTATCACCAAATGCTCAGTTTTCAATCAGTCTGTGACAAATCCTCCATCTTACCAGGCAATTTGAGGTTATATTTAATCCTAAAATTAGCTTTTCCTGCCACACATCTGGCAGTGACATGAGTGAATTTCAGTTACATCTCATAGAAATTTGCCTGTTTTAGAAAAAAAAGATGATGGCCACCTACATAACTATAATTCTGTTTATTTTAACAGGATAACAGGATGCAACAGTAGACAACAGAACTGCCTTTTTAATGGTAGATTTCCTCTAAGAAAAAGAAATGTTGGCGCTGACACAAGGACATTTATATCAGTAGACTATAATTATTTTGTTAAAAAGTATTATTGAGCTGTGAAAGCACATGAGGACTATGTTGTATATCTGTTGTATGTCTCCATGTGATGTGAGTGTGCAGAAACATCTTATATTCTCTAGTATGTAATATGGCAAGTAAGCAAGGGTTATACACACATACACATGTATACCCACACACGTATAATTTTATAAGCTGCATATATATATAGGCCTTTACAAGCTTGGGCATATAGTTGGCATTAAGTTGTCACAGGATCCCACCTCTTTTCTCCCATTCACCTTTCATTGCCTCTGTGCCCAAAGGGCCCCAGGGAACGTAGGTAGTGATATGCTGATAGTCAGCTGAGCAAACAGAGATGAAGTGACGTCACCAGTCTGTGGGGTTTTTACTGTGTATCACAGGGTAAAGCTCCATCCCCAAGGAGATCCGTATTCTGACAACAAATCAACCCTATAACTCCACCAGCGACCCCCACCTCACAAACAACCTGTCTGGTAACTGCAGCAGATTGTCTGACAGAGAGCTTAACTGTGAACGCCCCCACCTCAGGTCAGTCCAGCACGACACTGGAAGGCCTATCAGAGCAAACAAAAGAGCTATAGGTTTCATTTAGACACTGTAACCCACCTTCTACGGAGATGAATGTTTTTGACAGTGGGTCTCGTGAATGTTAGAAGTGTTTTATTACTGATTAAGGCGGTGGTTCCCAACCTGGGGCTCATGACCCCACAAGAGGTTCCAAGATAAATTGGGTCATATTAAAATTAGAAAGAAAAAAAACACTGCTCGATGCTCGCAACTTGAGCCTGCATGAAGGCCATAACCTTTGGTGAGGGGTCGCACGGAGACGTTTGTTTTAAGAGGCCACAAACCACAAAAGTGGTAGGGAACTACTGAGTTAGTGAACGCATAACACCTGACTTTAAACTGACGTTTCCACAGTATATGAGGTCAGCAATTTGCATTAACTTCAACCATGAAGGTGTCTGTGGAAACATTCACAAAAACATATGCATACACTATGTCTATATGAGTGTACGCCTCGGTGTGTATGTGTGTGTTTAATGGGAGATGACCACAAAGCTCCAGTCATAATTTCCTCAATATTTGCTTTTAAAAATGATGACTGATTACCATCTCTATCTGCCATAAAATTGTTCTTGTGGAAAATGTACCTCTGTAAAAATAATTAAATGACGTTACCCTCTAAATGGAATGTGGAAAATACACATGACCACAATTGCTGCTTCATTTGCAGCACATCAAGTTAAGAAAACAGCGTCATATAACCCTGCTGTTTCACATGACACACAGAACAAGATTTCCTATTCAGGAGAAGATTTGCTATGATATAACACACAGTTTCAATGCTTAAACGTGAGGATAGGGGGGAGCATATGATACTGTACATACATGTTGTATGTATTTATTTTGTCATAGGTCAGCGTGGTCTTGGCTTTCGTCGGCTGGCTCTGCGATTGGAGGCTTTGAGCACTCAGGTGCAGAGGCTGAGCAGAGAGAGAGATGTCACCCAGCTGACCAGAGAGGATGTCAATCTGCTACTGCAGAGGTATTCAATAACAACTATTATTTAAAAACATATACGGATCTCCATCCTTCCATCCATTAGCTGCACCGCTTATCCTTTGAGGGTCGTAGCTGGGATTGGGTGGGGTACACTTTGGACAGGTCGCCAGTCTATATCACAGGGCTGACACCTAGAAACAAACAACCATTCACACTCACTTTCACACCTATGGGCAATTTAGAGTCGTCAGTTAACCTAACCTGCATATCTTTGGACTACACCACCTTGTTTACGGATCTCGGGACACATGAATACAGATGTGACTCGGTGTTATTGGAGCTGTGTATACAGTATAGAAATAGATTGTATACATGCATACAGTGTGCAGTGTTTGGTTACCTGTTAGTTTGCATTTGTTTTCCAGCTTTAGACAGGACCAACAAGGCTTGGCCCGCCTGGTAGAGAGGGAGCTGAAGAGAGTGTCCCAGAAGCTTGATCAGCTCAGCCGTCATCACCACCATCACCATCAGTCTCACACTCCGCCACCGCACGATGACAGAGCACACATAGGTAAAGCCCAGACATTTATCACATAAAGCTCGTCTCGATGAATGTGTTATTTTATTATTTTTAGGAGAGTTTGTTTGATTTTACATGTTTATTTGATTTGTCTTGGAGGACTGGATATATCAAATGAGAGTTAATGAGAAGACGCTTTTAAGTGCGCATCTTTCAGGCTTTTTATTTTTGAAAAATTTTAACTTAAATAACCAGAAATCATGAGATAAGATGTCAATAAACTGTATGCAGCATGCTCATGGTTACCAACCTTAATGCTCTATGATATGAAGGATAAGGTAGGAAAAATATCTGCTCTCTGTTTGCCAACTTTCCTCTGAATAAAGAGTTACAGAGACAGTTTTTGTATTTCGATTTAGAGCGATAAAACAGGTGTATTAGGCTGTTACACTCAAATCCCTTTAGCTTCATTTTACCATGTACTTTACTAAAAGCAACTCATTGTCCAAGTTAATACAGAGATTTTAGGGTTTGTTCCAGTTATAACATGCTTTAATATTCTGCACCAAATAAATACACTCCGCCAGCTTCAATTATTGGTCAATTGCAAGCTTTTCTGTGGTTGCCTGCAGTGGTAGTGTGATACTCTGAGCCAAATGCACGGTTCATAGCCTCAATAGAGGTTAACCACACAGTGAAATTAACAAGCTGTGATAGTGGAGGGTGTGAATGGGGGGGTTAAAGGGCAGTAGGTACAGGTGGTTATGGGGGATGAAGTCCTTGAATAGAAGTTTAACAAGTCCCACAGAGCCAGCGCCAATCAACTGGCCGTGGGGAGGAAAAAAAGTTTACATCTACACTACGACCCTCCTGAGAGGTGTCAGGTGAGAGCTGGGTTACACACCCTGGTTGGCACGCGAAGGGTTGTGTGTGTGTGTGTGTGTGTGTTAGAGTGTGTGAGAGGAACGGATGAGTGGGTGCATGTGTAACCTCCTTCCCTGAAAAAGGGAATTCATAAAGCTCGGGCCACACAGACACCATACCGTGCATATGTGAGGACACACACTTGTCGACATGCACACACATACTTTACTGTATGCACACCCCATGCCACCCGCATGCACACAAACACACACTTCCCCATCACCAGCCTGCTCACCCCTCACCCTCTTCCTCTCACATTACCTCACACCATAAAATATGACTGAATTACCCCGGAGTCCTTTCACCAGCTTGTCTGCTCATACCCTTGTTTTTGCAGCGGGAGCACTTTTTTCTTTTCAGCCGTGCTCCTACAGCATATCACTGTTTTTAGGCTTTCACACCTCAGCTATGCCTACGGGTTTTCTTATCTTTTTTTTCCCCTCTCTTTTCCTTTTTACTAGGTTGTTTTACACAGCTAAGGACTGTGTATTTTGGCAAATGCTAGCATTGTAAAAGTGAATGTTTGGTAGGAGGCAGGTGGGTCAGGTGTGTGTGAGTGTGTTCATGTAAGTGTGTGCGTGTGTATGTGTGTGTGTGTGTGTGTGCTCATTCCAGTTGATTGACATTGACTAGAGATGGTGGGGGGGCTTACGGGAAAGGGCCTCTGAGAACACACTGCCTCTACTCTAATGCCTCTTACATGCATGGCAGCACTATACATCGTGCTGGTGGCTGCTATTCACATTTTAGTTGAGAGATTGTATATCAAAGTTATTATCCACTGTTCTGCATTACCCACATTGAGTTAACTCTACAATGCGCTTTTTGTTACTAAAACCTTGACTGACGATGAATAACGATGCATTCAAAATGGCCTCTACAAGAAAAACTGTGTGACGGCGAATATCTTACCCATAGGGCCAAATGAGTGTGAGGTGCCAATGGATTCTGCGTATCCGGTGTGTGCCGAAAAAGTGGAGGTGAGAAAGTGGAAATATATGTGGTAGCATGAACTTCAGGGCTGTGTGTGCACTGTTATGGCTGTAATAAACGGCTTAATATTTGCAGTTTGATATTTATTTCTCAGTATATGAGCAGGTTTGTGCTGGAATATCATTTTAATGATAATGACAATAATAGGACAGTATACTGGAGCATATATTTGTATTATAGACTCTATGAGTATATATCAACCTAACATCTGTCTCTCTTGCAGTTCCTGCAGTCACGCTGGCAGTCAGACCCCTGCTATGCATTTTATGGGGTGGATGGTAGCACCTGCTCCATATTGACTTACCTAAGCCAAATAGAAGACTTTTGCCCCCCTCACCTCGGGAGGAACCACTCTGCACTGCCATGGCACAAGAAACCTCACACTTATACAGAAAAGGTACATTCACATCAAGTTCATGTCATTGTGTAGTACCGCAGTATGAATGCAGAATGATCTTGAGAGGATCTAGTTTACCAAAACACTATTCTGCCATGATTCCTATCACATGTTCATACATGAGTTTCACATTTTGATTGCTCACAGGCTGAGATACGAACGTCTCTAAGCCAACTGTATGAAGTCATCGGCAACAACAGTGGTCCTGCAATAGACTTCATCCGGTCCAGAGTGGACAGGATGTCTGAACAGTGGATACAGGCTGGTCTGAGGATGGGGCACAACAGCAACAAGACAGTCTCCAACCAGATGAGGGTACGAGCAGCAGGTCATTCTGATGAGTATCATCTAGTTTTTATTTTTGGATTTTGAGGAGAACACAGAAGCTAAATTAATTCCATCATATGTTTAGATTTCAGAGTGTTAGTGTGTAGACGCTAAGCACATTTCTTGTATTAAAATATTCAGCTTCTCTTTAGATAAAACATGTTAAACAATTTATTTTATACTCACAACTTCACTGAATGTAATTTATTATATCATACCTTTTGGAAGTTGATACCATAGTCTACAGAGACTTAAGCTTAGGAAAGCAATGGAAGTAAAGAAATGAGAATATAAAATAATATACAGCACCTGTTGTGTTTTGGACTTTAAAATGTGCCGTCATCCAGGTGCTGCTGTATCCGGGTGCCCTGGCCGGGACTGTTGGTCAGCGTTTTGAAGCCATGGTGGAAAGAGGGGGGCCTCTTGGGGAGCTGGTCCAGTGGGCAGACCTCAGTGCCTGTCTGATAATCCTGGGCCACAACATAACCTTCAGCACCTCACAGCACCAACTCCACAGGTTACCACCACTTCTGCTACTACTGGCTGCTTTCATCTACAACTACATTATCATGTTTGTTCGGAAAGTATTGATTACATTGACAAGCAACAACATCTGCTATCACTAATATATGATATATATTGATAGGTGTCTGGTCTATAACCACTTTACACTGAAGTGATGAGGGAGACAAAGATCAGTGCAGAATGATGTTGAGCAGTTCTTGGTGTTATGTGTATTTATTGTGACTGGTCCAGCCTGATAGGTGCTGCTCCTGGCCGAGGCAGTTGTCCAATCCAGAGGCCCCTGACCTTTGACCTCATCTATACCGACTACCATGGCCTTGCTCACCTTCAAGGAGCCATGGGACTGGCTTTTCAGCATTACCAGTACAACCACAATTTCTAAACTCATACTAATCTAATAACAGTATTGTTCCATTTGCTTATTAATTAAACATATTTATTTTATATTTTTAGAAATTTGACAATGATAAGTAAAGACTGACTTTCACTTAAATTATTATCATAAATAAATTAGCCACAAGTGTTAAAAAAGAAGCATAAAACGTTTCCCTTCTATGACCATTTTATGTAACTTGTATTAGTCTGTTTTAATGTGGAGCAGACATGCTGTGATTTCACACCACACAGTGTGACATTTCAACTTAAAAATATAAAATGATAAAATATTCTTAGTTAGCTTTCTCTGACTTCTTTGGCCATGATATTTGTCCAGAACATCCAGGGCATTGTAAGCCTGACAAAAAGCATTACACACTGAGTTGTTTGTGTTCATGTGATCATTGCTAAGTTTATAAACTCGAAGTAAATTTCTTTTGTGATAAACTGTTCTTTAAATCGTTCTAGGTGCCGCTTCAGAATCCTGGATTCTTTTGGCACTGAACCTGCCTTTAACCTGGGGAGTTATGCTCATAGCCACGGATATAAAACACTGTGGGGCAGATGGGGTCTCCAACCTCTGCAATACATGACCATGTTCCGTAAGTCTGTGCGTGTGCGCGTGTGTCTGTGTGTGTGTGTGTGTGTGCATATAGTTGTATTATACTGGCAAGTAGCAGCATCATGTAATGTGTTTACACCCTGCAATCATGCAAACATGTGACTCACTGTCTGTGTGAGACCACAGCTGTGATAACTGTATGATGGCGACTCTGTGAAGAACAGAACATTGGTTCAGAAATGCACTTGTGGTCAAGTCAACAGTCAACATATATACGTATATATATATAAATACACACACACATGCACATATTTATATCTTGCTGCCGCAGCGCTGATCCTTCACACACACTCCTCTAAGCGTCCTCACAGTGAGAGGATTAATAGCTGAGGTTAAATAAACTTGGTGCCCAGACAGAGCTTTCATTCCAACACCTCTCCCTGTCATCTTTCCCACCCTGCCGGGAGATGGAGGCAAGCTGGACACACTGGGCCGAGAGCCACTCTTCATCCCTCAGCTTGAAACACTGTTTATTTGTGCTGCTGAGGAGGAGGAGAATGAGATGGCTGTTAGCTGATGGTGTGGAAAGGGCAGAAAGAGGGAGAGAGAGACAGCAAAACAGAAACAAAGACACAGAGAGAAGAAAGAAAGAGAAAGATGCTAGAGAGAAAAGCAAACAGGGGATTTATGCTTCTGTTTTGAAGATAGTTGACTGAAGGATTGCACTGAACTGTAAACAGACAGCAAGAAGACTGAAACCAAGAAACCAAAGGAACTGCATTCCTTCACAGCTTTTCCTCCAACCCCCACAAGCTGCACAATGTTGATCATGTCAGTGTATCGTTGCGTAGCTCTGCTAATCTGATAGGTGAGTGTGTGAGGCAGTGAACCTGGACAGGTGTGAGAGACGAGTAGCGACAAATGGAACTGAGCCAGGAGCGGATTCTGTGCTGCTTTAAGGGTGAATGAGGAGAGATCTGGCAACAGTCTTTTTAAACAAGTACCTGGAGACAGGAGAGAATGACACACACACACACGCACACATCCACACACACACACACACACACACACACAGCTCACAGCACACGAAGTAGGCGGGTTGGGTGTATGGAAGATATGTAGGACGTGTTCTCGCGGCGCTGAATTGTGTTGACACAGCACTCACACACACACACACACACACCTTTGTTGGAACATTCCTAGTAAAGTAAATACTCATCTCTCACACCTCCCTGAGTGTGTCGGAGGGCAGCAGGGTGGCAGCTGCCTATCCAAACAGCCCGACCTCAACCTCTCATATATGTAGAAATCTCATTTCCTTTAACAGCTGATTTATACTGCATGGTATGTTTTTCCTCTCTAGCAAAATTTTAATCTTAGCTTTCACCTGTGATCTTGGTCTGCGTTGCCAGATATGTCTGTCCAAAAGTAACTTGTGATCCTCCAGTCACGTTTCCCACAATGGTTTCTCTCTTTTGATGTCTTCAAGGAAGATCTGTGCACGGGCGTTCACCATCTGTGGTCATATTTTAGTAAATTAAGAACTGAATTTAGACTACCTTTAAGACCAGTTTTGTTCCGTACAAATAAAGTAATTTAATACTATAGAAAAACATACAGACATACACATGCTTAAAGGTGCTATATATAAGCTTTTGCTATTGCTACGCAGCCAATGTTAGCATTAACAGCTGTTTACTGCAGTCTAGAAAAACTTTGCAAGTTCAGCATCAGACTTAATTTCTTTACTTGTCTCCAGCGTTGAAAAGCAACGCCAGTGTTTACTCTTGATTTGCTTCTATATGTCTCGCTTCTTTTCTTCAACTGAAGTTAGTGTACCAACTAGCTACCCTGGCCTGTCTTGTAATACTACTTTTCCATAGTGTAGCGTCCAGTTTGCCCTCAGTTTAGCATGAGAGGATGAAGAAGTAGTGCAGCTTAGAGTGCGTGTTCTAACATCTTGTCTTGTAAATGCAACAAAGCCTGAAGCTCTGGGCAAGCGATCGTTATCAGAGAAAACTTACATATAGCACCTTTAAAGGCAATTTAGCTTGATCTCAAAAATCTTTTTCAGTTTTCTTGTTGAATAGTTATTTAGTGACGGGGGATTTCAGTGTTGTGTGCAAGTTGAGACCACAGATAAAATTCATGTTCTGTTCTATGTTTTTGTTGTAGCTCACACTCCTGATAACTCCTTCCTGGGCTTTGCGAGTGAGGAGGCAGTGAGGGCGGAGGTGAGAGAGGAGGAGCTGGAGCCAGAGATCCACAGGAAAGACAGGATAGCAGTTGTCTACGGCAAACAGGACTACATGTGGAAGGTATAATGCATTTGGAAAAATGGTGAGCAAGGAAGAAAGATGTCAATGAATGCTAAAGATTTCCCTTTGTGTCCAGGGTAGATCTGAGTATGTGGAGGTGATCAGTGAGGAGCTGGAGACCCATGCCACAGTCTTTCAGCCTCCAGGACACACCTCTAATCTGCCCAGCTTTATCAGAAACCATGGCCTGCTGACTCAGGAACACTTCCTACAACTTCTCCGCAGAGCCAAGGTCAGAATTGTGGACATGTATTCTTGTCCTGCCTTGTTGATGATGGACCCTCATTAAGATGCTGCTTCCCTCCTCCCCGGCAGGTGTTTGTAGGCCTTGGTTTTCCCTATGAGGGTCCGGCTCCTATTGAGGCAATAGCTCTGGGCTGCATCTTCCTTCAACCACAATTTGACCCACCACACTCATCAGACAACAATGACTTCTACAAGGGCAAACCCACCACAAGACAGGTAGGTATAACTCCTCAAAGTGAAAAAACCCCAAACTCATGGGAATTGAGAAAAGATGTTGCACATAATTTTTTAGAGAAATAACACTGTTTCTTGTTTTAGTAAAAAATATTTAAAAAAACATGTAAAAACTTTGCATCACAGATCTCCTCCCAGCACCCTTATGCTGAAGAATTCATTGGTAAACCTCATGTGTGGACTGTGAACATGACCAACAGCACCGATGTACGAGAGGCAGTCAAAGCTATTCTAAGCACAGAGGTAGCTTCCGGCCAACAAACTCATGGTTATACTGTATATACATATATCTAGACACACGCCTTGTCTTCCCCAAATATATGTTACATTAGCACTAAACTTTGTTTGTTTTTGCAGGTGAAGCCTTTCACCCCCCGAGAGTTCACCTGTGAGGGAATGCTGGAGCGGGTTCATGGTTATATCACTCACCAGGTGCAGAGATACACGGAAAGGCTGGCATAATATTATTGAGTGCTCCCCCATCACACCAGACTCTTGAAGTGGCCCTGATCTTGCAGAGTCACAGGACGCTGCCCTGCAGTCTGTTATGAAATGTGTGAAGACAGAAATCTCAGAATGCAGTGGATATCCTTTTAAACCTATTGATTGTATCCGTAGAATCAAATCATATACAGTAAAGCTTTATCGACACATGTCTCTGATATCGGCCTTTCAGAAAACTTGAGTTATTAGCAGTGATGTCATCCACCTCTGATACAGCATGAACTATATCTAAACCTTTATTCTAAATTAACTTTGTGGTCATTAATGCCAAGTATCTTAATTGTTGATTTAAAAGGCTAATCTGTATGTAATAGGCAGGGCACTGAACAGTTAGTTTAGAACTGCTAAACAAGATGAAATACTAACATATTGTAGTCAAGATTGTTTCAAAGGCATTTACACACCACTGGAGGCAGACACATACAGACAGAAGAGAAGTCGTTCAGATCTTGCTTGGTTCAAACTCTCATCGTTGTCAACTTTCTTTTTTTCTCTGTTATCATAAATCACTGTAGGAGTTCTGCAGTAAATCTGTCCCTATTTGGCCACCAGAAAGTGCTCTAAGGGTGCACCTGGGTCCCCTGGGCCAGTCGTGTGTGAGTGTGTGCCGACACTCCTCCCTGGTGTGTGAGCCTGCTCTGTTTCACCACCTCAACAGTCCCTCCGCGTTCACCAGGTGAGAGGTCAGCAGACATTACCAAGCATATTGTCTAAGACTTTGGGAACTTGTACAACATCATCACACAGTGGGGACTTACTCCCCAAAAAACAGAGCAATATTAGAACGATACTACAGATGTTGAATAAGAAACGAAGAGATGCATGTGAACGCTGATAGATGCACTTTATAAAATTGAACTTATCACTATTTTCCATTTTGTAGGCTTGGACTAGGCTGTTCCAGCGTGGGGCCGGAAATCAACCACCTGTTTCCTGCCTACAATCCTTGGGGTCGACACTGTGGCCTTCAGCAGGAGCCTCTACTGTTCAGTTGTGCTGGCTCTGACCCTTCGCACCGCAGACTGTGCCCCTGTAGAGCTCACCTACCTGGACAGGTGGCACTGTGCCCTGACTGCATCTAAACACAACTGTGAAAGAACCTGGGAAACAGCACGGAGAGAAGAGGAAAAGTTAGTAGGGTTAGGGAGACAAAGACGACCGATGAGCCATCTGCAGTGCATACTGTATACGTGAAGAATTGATTTCAACCAAAGAAAGCAAGCTGCCAATGCTACTGAAAGTTTTGTGGTTTTGATTTTACACAGAGGCTGAAGGGTCCCAGTAATATGAAGGAATCCTCTCAGTCAGCACGACTAACATTTGGTTTTTCATAAAAATGTTGGAGTTACAAATTCATCACAAACACATCAAGTGATTGCTACTTGTCCTGCAGGCAGCCGACACTAGTGATTAACAATTATTAAAACAATATGAGAGAGGTTTTGCCAAATAATGAACATCTACGTCATTTAAATTTCTGTAGCTAGATTTGTCCAGTGCAATTGTTTGGTCAAGCTTTTGTTTTGTTTTTGTAATGACAGTCATTACTCAGGAACCAAAAATAAATGACATGTCATTTCGTAAGTACTTGAAGTGTTGAAGGATAATGAATTGTGGGCCTGGTGTTTCATGGTGCCTGATAAAATATCAAATAATGAAGGCAACACGCACTTTAGGGAAAATTTGTTTAGGTGTATTTAAATGAAGTTGGAAGCGGCACCAAAGACCGTAAAGCCATTCAGTTCAATTCCAGATCACACATAGTACAGTGCACTTCAATATTATGCTAAATAAGTATCTAATCATTCATTCGTACACAGTAATGTAGCACAGTGGTCAGTGTTGCATGGGATTAGCTCCTCAATGTATCGCTGGCTGCAAATATTATCCCGGGCCTCAGAGGAGAGAGGGTGACAGCCTAAGTGATGAGGCTCATTATCTGAGCGAATCATGGATAACCTCTGGATGCCTTTGGGAGGTCACAGCCATATGACGATGATTATACTGTCATATAAACCACTGGTTCCCAACCGTCTTTGACTTAGGAAACCCCCTCCCAGCTCTGTTTCAATCCATGCCCCCGCCAGTAAAGGCAGAACCTCATTGTTTGTCTTTCAAACACATATTTTGCGTCATTTAGCGGGATAAAGTCACTGAAGGAAGAATTAATTATGTTTTCTTGAGTTATTTTACTCGAAAAATGATTTTGATCAGAACAGATGACTAATTTTTCCCAGAGTTCTTGCATTTGCTTCAAAATTATTCCCTGATTGCTTCATGACCTACAGACCCAAGGGTATTTTTCCACCCCAGGTTGATATGAACAAACATGGAAACTTTACATACAGTACATACAATGATTTGGAGAGGTTGAACGTTTGAACATTTCCATGTCAGAAGCCTGAAAGGGTCACGCAGGCTTATTCCATCGTCCCTGCCTGCAAAACAGCTTGTGAAAGAAACAAATGATAACAACTAAAGGCCAAACTTCATCCCACATTTGGTGTTGTAAGTGCTACACTTACATGGCGCAGCTGTTAGCAAAGATGTCTCCAACACAATGGCAACAAGCTGCTGTGTTGAACTGGATCGATGTGAGGTTTTTCTTGGAAATGACGCACTCATGGATGTTAATTGGCAGAAAAAGAGACCTTTTCAGCAGCGATACACTCCATGTGACCAGAACATATTGTCGCTCTGGGATCAGACCGCTCAGGGCTGCGACGACAGAACTGGTCGACAGTGTGATTGACTAGTAAATGGCTGTGAAACGGTCCATGAAGACAATATTTGTGATGACTTTGGTGGATTTTGGTGAATTCATTTGGCCCTGTCAAATGTGACTTTTGTGTAATTAGCTGAATGATCCAAAGATGATGGAAGTGAAGTTGTGTTTATGTCAAAAGGCTTTTTGGAATAAAAGAAAATAAAAGTTGCTTTTGACTCAGAGGGGCGTCCCTGAGACATATTTTTGGAAAGTGATGTGTCATTCCTGGAGAGTCATGTTAATTCATATCAGTTACATGTGTTATGGCATATAAAAGCTGTCACTCACTTCCCAGGGGGCTGATAGCAGAGGGTCAAACGAAGGGTTCCAAAACAGCACGGGGTAGTATATGTAGTATATGGAGCAAATGTGTAAATGTGGACAGACAAAGATTTTAGTGTTGCACACAACTGCCTACTGACCTCACGCTGAATGGGGCCGTATATGAGTGCAAAAACTGACAAAGTCCATATGTTTGTCAGAAGCCCATTTGATGTTGTTATGCAGTGATGTGTTTCGAGAAGATAGTGGTGTGGATCATTTAGTTCTCTGGGTTATGTGGTTATCACTACAAATTGGTTTTATGCCTAAAGTTCAACTTCAAGGCTCAAGATAAGTAGGTTAGCAATCTCTGTTAATTGCTTTTGCTTGCTGTCATTCAGATATCTACAAACCATGTTTAATGTTTTTATGTTTATTGTGTGAGGTTTTCTCGGCAGATCATACTCTGTGTGACTGTCATTATTCATGCATGTGAAAATTCCTAAATCAAGAATTCAAGAGCAGAAAGACTCTTAGCTGGATACAAACAGTGTTTGCAATCTGGGGAGATTGCTGACTTTTAGTATGGTGCCCAAACTTTAGCACAGAATCACCAATTCATTTTTTTCCTGTTTATTAAGATCATTAAATAAAAAAGGGAGCAGGGCAATAACAATTGAAGAAATTAAGTTCATCTCCAGACATGTTTTAAATTATGTAAAAATACTCTGCTATGATTAATATTGTGTTTAACATGGTTTTCAGAAAAAATAATGAATTAAAAAAAAATTAATAAAAAACTGGGGCTGGAAGCACGTCTACACTTACTTCCTCATTGAGAAATGTGGATCAGGCCTTGTGCCACGCGCTGCTCGCGCTAGGTTCACAGGTGAAACAGCAGTGCCAATCAAGACGATTAGTGGAGGAAACAGATTCTGCCACATGTCTGAGCCTCAGTCAGACCCAGACTCAGGAGCTTTTAAAGGAGTTTGTTGTGCACCAAAATCGGCGACTAGAAGACGTATCAGAACGGTAAGTGTAATCATTTGTTTATGTTGTTTGTTAGCTTGTAGCTGGCAGTGGCTAACACGGTGTTAGCGGCGGTGCTAATGCAAACTCTCGCTCTCTGTGCTGACAAGTTTTTGGTGACCAGTGACTGAGCAGTGTGTATCAAGATGGTTAGTGTTAAAGGAAACACAGGAGAGACTCAGCTACATGTTTGAGTCTCAGTCAGACCCAGACTCAGATCAGGAGTGTGTTGTGCACCAAAATCGGTGACTGGCAGTCACAGTCAGCGTCTTTTGTTTGTTTATGATGTTTGTTAGCTTGTGAGCGGCAGTGGCTGACTCAGTGTTTGCAGTTGTGCTGATGTAAACTCTCGCTCTCTGTACTGACAAGGTTTCTGGTTTATTTTTCCCGCCTCCCGTCCCTGCACACTGACAGGATTGGTTCCTCAGGTTAGATGACGAATGAATACCTGGCTGTCTGAATCCGTTTTTATGACACTGTCATTGGTTCACTGCAGTTGCAAGGTGGAAAGGTGCAGTCATGGTGTCAACTGCTTATTTTGCTCATGATATGGCTTGTATTGTATAAAAAAACATTAAGCTGTGCTGCTGACATGGCTAATAATACTGTCAAATGGGAATCCTTGGGATCTTTGGTTTGTTTGAAGTCCTACAAATGCTTGACCACCCATTGCACTGTATTTGCAAGTGTCTGCTGCATACCACCTCTGCACGTTGAAATAACGATTAGACTATTAAAAATAAGAGATGATTGATGGAGGAAAAAATAAAAAAAAACCCAAGAGGAAACATGAACTTGTGTTGGGTTCAGTCAGACATCATGGAATGCTCATGCACCAGTAGAGGTTCAATAATGTTTATATGAGTGCTTTTTAATTTTACATGAGAGACAGGAACTCTTTGAGGCACACAGGGACTTACTCTCCTATACCTTTTAACTGTGGAATGCAGTGGCAAATCAAACTTTGCTGCCAAGAAAAATGAGATCCTATAGAAGAAAAGCAACACAGGAGAGTTTCACTTAAATTTGAACTTTCAGCTAATGTCATGTCTGTCTCTTTGTATGACAAAGATTCACTTTGAGAAACCTTATGCTACAGAGATTTTGCTGTTTTTCAGAATTTATTTTTGTGTCACAATCATGAATTTACTTACAAGTTGGGGATGACTAAGCAGAAAAATAAGATAAAGTTTACATCCAGTCCAAAATGACTTCCCCCTATCGGGGCTCAATATCAATATTTAGTTACACAATAACTCAATCACGTAACTCACCCATGTCTTTTTCTTCTTGAGAGTTACTGGAAAATGTTGCAACCCCCATGATTTGTTGTTATTGCTGTATTATATTTGCATGATTGTGTACTATGAATCACACTGTTTACACTGGATCTTCAAGTGTTTCCCAATGCACTTGTCGTTTCCAGTCAAACACAACTGCAGATTGAACGAATGCTCCCTCTTTTTCTAATTTATTTGGTTTCCTGCCTGCTTCTTTTTTCCCTCCTCTTCACATCCATTCAACTCTCTTACTCCTGTCTCCCCTTCCTTACTACATCTTTATCCATGTTAAATTCCCTTGTAATCATGGATTCTGATCCAGGACTGATCAAGTCGGCTTTGTGCTTAAGAGTTCAGAGAAAATATGTGTTCTGTGCATGATGTATCACGTCTGATTTTAATCTAAATGCAGATGGGTGAGAAAAGTAACTTATTATACAAATAAGGAACATACTTATTTAGATTGCTGCATATCATTGGATTACCTCCAGTTTTTGCTGTGCACCATTTTCTTACCACTGTATGTCTTTCAAATGCAACGGAAATCGGGCAAATAATTTTTATTAAATCACTTTATTGCCTGTTCCGCTACCTCTATAGATTTGTTGATTTGCAACAGCCAGCTGTATCCTAAAGGGGGCAGTGTGGTCAAGCTAAACCAGCTAACACCGGCCTAAGTTACAGCACACCAGTTACAAACATCAGAAACCTGCTCAGGGAGACGAGTGACAGAGATGAAAACAGAAAAAGATTTTTTTAAAAAGAGAGAAAAGAGATTTTTAGAGAGAGAAGGAGGGAAACAGAAATACTGTAGAGGTGTTAGGACACATGGAGACACTTCCAGTCCTCTC